AAGGAGAGTTGCTGCTCCAGGGAGAATACAGGGAGCTGAAACTGGAGAATGTGCTTTTAGTGGAGAAGCTGTCACTGAATCTGATCAGCCAAACTCAACTTGACAGCACGGGGTGCAAAACCTTCAGCGACAAAGGAAAATTGTGGGTTTTTGACAAGAACTGGAAGGTGGTTGCAGAAGGGAACAGAAATCAGGGATTGTATGAAATGAAGCTGAGGAAGAAGGGGCTGGAGGATGAGAATGCCACCTACCTGCCATCTTTCGAAGGGGACCTAGCTAGGGAGGAGTTGAAGGCTCGGCTTGGTGGCTTACTTGTGAAGGAGCTGCAGCAGGAAGCTTCAGCCATGGTGGTTGGGATGGGGAAGGTGGAATTGGAGACCTTGCACAGGCGCATGGGGCATGCAAGCATGGATAGGGTCAAGGAGTTGGTCAAAAAGGGCATGGTAGGTGTGGCACTGAAGGAGGGGGCTGGAAGCAAGGGAAAATGCAGCAAGTGTGTTGAAGGTAAAATCACAAAGTCCCCTCACCCCCACCACCAGGTACATGAGCCTTATGGCACCTTGGACATCGTAGCTGCCGACGTGTGTGGGCCTATGAGGGTGGCGTCACGTCACGGCAGCCGCTACTTCGTTACCTTCACTGATTTGGGGACAAGGCACACATGGGTGACGGAGCTGAAAGATAAGGCAGAAGTGTTTCCTAGCTTCGTGACTTGGATGGCAGAAGCGGAACGGCAAAGTGGGAAGGAGCTGAAAGTTTTAAGGACAGATAATGGAGGGGAGTTTACCGGTGAGCTATTCAACAAGTTTCTACAGAGTAAGGGCATCCGACGGCAGCTGACTGTACCCTGCACTCCACAGCATAACAGCATAGCGGAGCGGGTGAATCGCTCTCTACTGGATAGTGTGAGGAGCATGTTGGCCGACAGTGGGCTGCCACTGAAGTTCTGGGGTGATGCATTGGCAATGGCTTGCTGGTCCAAGAACCGCCTACCTACCAAGGGACTTCAAGCAGATATGACTCCCCACGAGGCCTTCTATGGCAGGAAGCCGAATCTGGGGTTTGCACGGGTGTGGGGGAGTATGGTGCAATACAGGGAGCCAGCTGGTCCGGATCATAAGTTGCTGCCCAAGGCTCATTGGGGGATTAACCTCGGTACCTGCCCAGTGAGCAAGGGGTGGGTGATTAAGGATGTAATTTCAGGAAAGGTCACGATCACCCGGGATGTTGTCTTCTACGAGGAGGTGAACTATCTGCAGTGGAAGGGAGTAGAGAAAGAGATTGCAGCAGCAGGGACAGCAACTGCACCGGACAAGGTGGAGGATCTTTTGGAGGAAAAGGAGAGTGAGGGAGTTGGGTATGAAGGAGATGAGGAACTCGAAGAAGTGGAACGGGCAGATTCAGTTGATTGGGTGTGGGAGAAAGCACCAACCAGGGAAGCGGGTGAAAACAAGGGAGTGGAGATAGCAGGGGAGCAGCCAAGCAATGAAGTAGCTGAGGGTGGCAATGATGAAGTGGCTGGAGAAGAGGGAGATGAATACTCAGCAGCTGAAGGAGATAGTGATCCTTGGAAGCTCCTAGATAGTGAAGACAGCAATGGCAAGATGGGAGAGATAGAGGACCTGCTTAAGGAAGGTGCCATCATCATTGGAAGGGAAGTGAAATCTGGAGAAGAGAATGAGAAGGCATTGGAGGGTTTCAATGGAGATGAGGCTGAATCACCTGCAGAGGAGTTGGGGAAAGGAAAGAGGGAAAAGAAACCAAACCCTCGGTATGCGCAACTGCTGATGACGTGTTGGAAGGACATCCATACCCACCTCCTACTCTCTGCCACAGCTACTGACCTAGTCTCCAATGAAGGAAAAGTGACACACAACCTGCCCAAAGAACCAGTGAGCATTGAGGATGCGCTAGAGGGTCCAGAAAGGGAGCAGTGGAAAGCGGCAATTGAGGAGGAGTTGAATACCCTGGCTGAAAGGGGCACATGGGAACTAGTACCTATGCTGGAAGGGAGGAAAGCCGTGGGAGTGAAGTGGATTTTTAAAATCAAGACCGGGGATATGGGGCAGCTGGAAAGGTTCAAAGCAAGGCTTGTAGCCAAGGGCTACACTCAGGTGGAGGGGAAAGACTACCAACAAAATGAGATCTACGCTTCAGTGAGCAAGTTGGCAACGGCACGAGTCTTTCTCAAGGTGGTAGCAGCAAGGAAATACTTCATGGTGCAGCTGGACATCAAAAATGCCTTTTTGTATGGGGTGCTCAAGGAGGACATCTACCTCGAGCAACCACCAGGGCATGACGACGGCTCGGGCAGAAAATGCAAGCTCAACAAGGCATTATATGGGCTGAAGCAGAGTCCTAGGGAGCGGTACATGGCGATGGATGAACGGCTGCTGCAAGGGGGATTCCAGAAAAGTGAGTGTGATAGGGCGTTCTACTGGAAGGGAGAAGGGAAGGAGAAGGTGTTCTTGGTGCTATATGTGGATGACATCTTGGTGGCTGGGGTGTTAGAGGAGGAGGTAGAGAAGGTGTGTGCTCATCTTGCGGAAGTTTTTCAAGTGAAGCAGATTCCGAGGACCACACTCTTTCTCGGCATGAATCTGGAGCGACGTAAGGAGGAGAGGAAGATGTTCCTATACCAGCAGAAATATTGCAGCAGGGTGCAGCAGAGGTTTGGCAACGGCTACACGAAGGCAATTTCTACACCATTGAGTGGGGTAGCTGAAAGCGACAGTGAAAGGGAGGAGGATGTCAACCAATGGGGCTGCAAAGAGAGAGCTCTGCAAGTATATCAGTCCATGGTGGGGTCTATCATGTATCCGGTCTCATGCACGCGTGTCGACATGGCATACGCAGCTAGCTATCTTGGGCAACAAGTGCAGCAGCAAGGGGAGAGAAAATGGAGAGAGATGAGGAGGACTATCGACTACCTATTGGAACATGAAGATGAGGGGCTGTTATTCGAAGGAGGTGAAGAGACCTTGGAGTTAGTGGGGTATGCGGATGCTTCACATGCATCCGATAACAAAACAAGGAAGGGAGCATATGGTTACGTGTTTCTGCTCGGCGGGACAGCAATCATGTGGCAAGCGAAAAGGTTGGCTGACATAGCACTCTCTAGTGCGGAAGCGGAGTACATGGCTCTGTTTTTCGCGTGCCAAGAGGGGGTTTGGCTGAGAAGGCTACTCAAGGAGATGGAAATCAAGGTGGAAGGGCCAACGGTGATTCGCACGGATAGCAAATCTGCCATCGACTTGGCTCACAACGACAATTGGCACGGGAGGACCAAGCATATGGATGTGAAGTATCATTGGGTGCGTTCAAAGGTGCGTAGCAAGGAGTTTCAGTTTGAATTCGTACGTACGGAGGCACAAGCAGCAGATTTTCTGACTAAGGTGTTACCAAGGGCAAATTTTGAGCGTTGCAAGAGAGAGGTTGGGATGTGTACCTTGGCTGAATTGCAGGGGAGTGTGGAGCAGGCCTAGAGGTGGTTTAAGGTGAAACGTACGAGGGAGAGTGCATAAGCTGGTGGTTAGCAAACCACAGGGGAGATTGTTGAAGGTGGTTAGCTAACCACTACCTAGAGCGACCTACATCAACCTAAGAAGGACCTACTGTGACGAGATGTGACTAAGGGAAAACGAGGACCTAAGAAGAAGAGGAGCTATCTATGTTGGGACGGTGGAAGGAGAAACACGGTAGCGGCGCGACCTGCAGTGGGAATCGAAGAGAAGAAGGGGAAGTGTGCAGATGTGGAGTAGAAAGCGGCTGAAATGTCGAGATTTCAAGCGACGTGAAGAGAAGTCACGCCGGGTCAAAGGCGCATCCAAGGAAGTCTGAAATTCGAACTCGAGGCGCGTTCGGTGCATGGTTGGATTTGGAAATTGAGCCGAGTACAAGTCAGCTCGAAATTAGGCGCGGCGCGAGGGCGAAATCAGAAATCCTTTTGCTTATAACTTGCTTTGTGTTTTCTGTTTTTGTATGCTTTCTTCAATGAAATTACTTGAACTTTCTACCTTGGCGTTTTTCAGCAAATTCTTTCACAGTTGAGGCCAGAGCTTCATGTGCTTGTTACTAAGACTCTAAATAGTCTTCATAATCTAGACCAAAGGCTGCGCACGCACGCACATATCATTCTTCAATCGAAGTTCAAGTCATCCACCCCCTTCTCCTGTTTGAAATTCGCTGTACTCTTCGAGCCTGAGCAACTGACATAACTGACATCATGGCGCGGCCAGCTCTCTCCGTCAGCCTCGCGCTCGTCTTCGCTGCAGCGCTGGCGCTTTCAAGCTTCTCATCAGCTCAGGGTACGATCCCTCTCTTTCCGAGTCGCCCTCTCATATGTAGTTTTTTTTTTTTTCCTGGCCAAAGCATTGCGATTTTCCTAGCGGCTCAGCTTCTAGCGGCGTTCCGTGCGTGCCTACTCGCTAGTGGCTGGTTCCACTCGCCGTCACGGATTTCGTGAAATGAGGGTGTTTTTGAGACGTCTCAAAAGCACCCTCATTTCACGTAGTTGGTACCACTCGCCATTGCGGATTTCCGCACCGCTCGCTACTAGTGCAGCCAGTCCATGTGACAAACCCGACGGAGATAAGAGTGCAATCAGTTGCTCTAACACACATCGCTTCTCTTCTCCCTCTGCGCCTCACACCCGTGCGTCCGACCATGCACACCTCACGTCCCCGCTGGCACGCCGCAAGAAGTTTCCTGGAAAGCGCCTCAGCCACTCACTCCCTCCCCCTCCTCCCCTCAACCCGTCCCTCACTCCTCCCCCGTTACCCTCCTACATGGCCTGGCGACAGGTGACGACTCGGGAGCGGTAGACACGGCTGTCGCGAGCCCCACAGGCGGCGTCATCACGGCGGGGAGCGCGGCGAGTGCTGCTGCTGGCGCGGAGTCCAGCGCGGTTGATGAGCAGAGCCACCTACTCCGTCCCCCTCTCTCCCCGCAACCTGTCCCCCACCCCTCCCTCCGTTTTCCTTCCTCCTTGTCACGAACCGATGCCACGTCGGTACCATGACCTGGCGACAGGTGCCGACTCGGGAGCAGTAGACGCGGCCGTTGCGAGCCCCACGGGCGGCGTCATCACGGCAGGGAGCGTGGCTAGTGCTGCTGCTGACGCGGAGTCCAGCGTGGGGGACGAGCAGCGCCACTGGCACCGCAAGCTCATGGGCTCCGTTTCACGCGGCAGGGCACTGCAGATTATTGCAGCGGATTTCATTAATCTTGTTGGTGGTGGAAAGAAGGCGTCTGACGGTAAGCCTGACCATGCCTGCCCGCAAAGTGTCGATCCTTTCACGGACCTATAGTTGTGCGGTTATTAATGATGCAGTTTTTATAAAAGAATCTTGAACTGAAATACTGGCAGTTATTTCTATTTGCTGTTACAAGATACAAAGCAGCTGATCAGGGAAAAGGAACTGGAGATCCCTCTTGCTGCCAGCCATTTGCATCGCAGGCACCCTGGTTCCAATGTGAAGAGGACTGATTGCGCGAAGCCCAAGGGTTTGTGTTTTGATCCGACTCAGCAGTCGGCCATTGGCAGGCACGCCGTGCTCTATAGTGAAGAGAACTGACTGCGTGAAGGCCAATGGTTTGGTTTTTTAGTCTCCCCTTTGTCCGCCCCTCCCCGTTTCTGTCGCCCGTTTGCAGGCACGCCGTGCTCCACAGTGAAGAGCACTGACTGCACGAAACTTAAGAGGTTCCTTTGAGTCGCCTCAATACTCCGCCTCTCCCCCTTTGCTGTCGGCAATTGGCAGGCACGCCGTGCTCCACAGTGAAGAGCACTGACTGCGCCAAGCCCAAGGGTTTCTTCCGCCGCCGGCAGCCCAGCCAGGAGGAGATCCGCGCATGCAATGCGAAGCGCTTTGATCAGCTCCTGCAGTGCGGGGGCGGTGCATCGTGGTGAGAGGGAGGTGCATGATGGTAGGAGGGCGATATTGGGCGATACTGTGTGTGGGGTGTGGTGCTAGCATGCAGCGTACATACTCTCTTGAAGCTATGTGCATGGGAGTTTCGTGTTGCACACACTCCGTGCCATGGGAAGGCCAGTCCAGCTGTTCCTTTGGAGCCTGCACGCCTTGCAAACATGTCAGCGTGTGCCTTCATTCCTACACCTGCCAGCACGTGCCTTCATTCCCACACTTGCCAGCACGTGCCTTCATTCCCACACTTGTCAGCACGTGCCTTCATGCCTACACCTGCCAGCACGTGCCTTCATTCCCACACATGCCAGCACGTGCCTTCATTCCTACACCTGCCAGCACGTGCCTTCATTTCCACACCTGTGTTCCCACCCACCTCACCCGGACTTCTGGGTGACCAAGGCTCCAGGATTGTTAGGATACGTGTGTGTGCCTCCTGGGAAGGCCACACCAGCTATACCATTTGCAGTGCAGAGTCTATGCAGGCCCCTCCTAGCTTCTGTGCACGCATGCTGTGATGTGGGAATGTATCGTGCCAGACCTTCCGTCCCCCCCATTCCCCCTCCCCCCTCCCCCTTCCCTCCTCCCCCGTCTGCCCCCCACGTTGTTCGTCTCTGCAGAGCCAATGGCTGCTAAGAGGAGCACCCAGTAAGAGCAGGCGGGCCTGCTGCCAGGGATGGGAGGCTGTAGGAGCGGTGGGGGGAAGACAGGGTTCTTGTTCAACGGATATTAGTCTTGTGGTCATGGGGATGTGGTCATGGGGGTGTGGTCATGGGGGTGTGGTCAAGGGGGTGTGGTCATGGGGTTGTGGTCATGGGGGTGTGGTCATGGGGATATGCTCCTCATGGCGTTGGAACTTTCTGAGCGGGTGTGCACCTTTGATGGTGTGCTGGTGCTAGTGTTTGTTTGTACGGTGTCTTGATAAGTTTAAGAAGTTTGACAGTGTACAATTTTTGTAATAAAGAATAGTTTTGGCAGCTGCTCATACACAAAAAGAACAAGTTGGTGAAAGCTAGCACATGGGAATAAAGTTGGTGCTGCTGTCGGTACATAGCCTAGCCACAAGTAGCATGACTGCAAGCTGGACCACCCTTTCATCACAACCACATGCAAAAGGCACTGTTTAAACATCCCACCCGTTCTCAATCCCTCCCCTTTCCTCTCTACTTCTAACCGCGATAAATGTTCTTGCTGCGTTATTGACCTGATGCACATGGCAACCCCATGAATGCTCCCACCTGGATGAAGTATGCCATAGCTCCACTACCTCCACCTCTGCAGGCCTCACCAAGTCCTGGCGAATACAGTGCACTGTCAAGCGGGAATCACCCTTTGCTGGCTTGTCGTAGCCCCCCACTGCCACACAGCCCATGCTGACATACCCCTCTGGAGGAATTGGCCTCCATATACTGACTGGATCTTGTGTCTTGGTCACACGATTCCTCCACACCTGAGACATTTGGAATGAGTGCAGAACTTAGTATCTGAGGTGGGGAGGAAGGAGAGGGGAGGGGAACTGGTAGGACACTGTCAGGTTGATTTCTCAAGCCACTCACAAGAAAGTAGTCCTTTGGCATGGCGAATGCGCCGGCAGAACCAGCAGCTAGCGATGCTGGCGTGATGGAGTGCACTCGCACAGCTGGAGGGGGTGTCAGGCCTCGCCATGCCACATCCCCCAGGGAGGTGTACCTGCATAGACCACATAACCATGAGAACGACTTCTGGATGTATCACACACTGATTTCCAAGAAGAAATAAGCTCCGGCATCTGGCCTACCCTTCTGGGGGCACTGGCTTCCAAATCGCAAAATGCCCAGCTTCAGAAGCATCCTGGCACAGGATTGAGAGACAGACCCATAAAATGTTAGTGAGAACAAAACTGCTACAAGAACTGTCAAAAACTGACACAGCTAGTCAGAGAAGTAGAAGTTACATACTCTCTGGCAAGAAGAGAAGCAGAAAGATGGTCCATCCTCGACCACCCATGCACGAATGAATGTATCGGTCTCGACGTGCGATGGGAGTGGCCGAGAGGCCGAGGACGCCAATGCTAGGGGACGGGCCATGGTAAGCGGGTTGGATTCGCTAGAAGACAGTGCACGCAGACCGATCGCCAGTGCCGCCTCTGAGGTTCGGACACTGTGCAGGCGACCGAACCTCCTGGACTGTGTTGGCTGGATGGGCCGGGCTGATGAAGTGGTGAGAGAGAGAGAAGACCGGCTGCTAGCAGCGGACAGGAACGAATGATGAGGAGTCTCCTTCGGGTCCTGCAGAATAAGCACAGAGAGAAGTTCATTGCAAGCAATTGGAGATAGTGAAGAGGAACTCACATTAGTGAAGAAAATACCTGCATTGCTTCGATATTGACAGGCTTGGGACCATAGGTCTCAAACGCTGACGCAATGTCAGCCTGCACGTGCTCAGCAGGATGTGGTTCTGGGCAGCGGATGATGGTGTAGAGGCACTGAGGTGTAGGCTCTCGCATGTGCACACAGACCACTGGCCGAGGGAAGCTAGGAATGGACTTGGTCTCCAATGCGAGCAAGTTGTCCCATGGAACATCCCAACGCACAAGGGATGGACCTTGCACCAGTGCCAGTGAGTCAGGTTGGCCAGCTGGATCCACAGGGCACTGAGGGGATACGAGATACAGGTCAGAAAGAAGGAATCTGGGAGGATGGGCATCACATAGAAGTTTTTGCTAACAAGGCAGGGAAGTGAAGAATGTGTTATATAGGAAAACCAGGTTAAGCAGGTTCAAGAATTTCAGGGAAGAAACCACCGACAACATGTTGAAATGTGATGAACAGTGCAATTCTACCCACCTTGAGCATCATGACTCTGCGGCTGGTGATTAGTAGGATGCGGCAGTTGGGCAGAAGAATGTGATTCACGTAGGCATCTGATAGGGCGAACTTGGAGTGGTCCCTGAATATGTCATGCTTGCCGAAGTATGAGCCCGCTTCAGCCAGGAACAACACCATCTGAAATAAAAGTGTTATGAGGGCACGAGAGGATGGCAACAGACATAAGAAAGCGCACCAGTAACAGCAGAACTGGGCAGGCTGGGAATGAAAACGAACAGAAGGTAGGGAGTTGGAAGTGATGCCAAGATGAGAAAACGAGGGCATTTGGAAGAAGACAAGAACCTGGCCAACTGCGCTCTCCTTGCTGTACTCGTGAACAACCCCATCAGCAGAGATCGCCCTGGGCAGACGCAGCCGCTGCAGCTGAGGCTTTCGCTGCACCATGCGAGCGCAAGAAGCAGTAGACGCATCCACGCCAGCGACAAGGAACGCCAGAGAGTGCAGGCAGCCCGTCACTGGATGCACCACAAGCCCTGCCAAGCCCTTGCTGAGGCCAAGGAGCAGCCCTGGTGGCCCGTGGGTCTCATAGCCGGAGCGAGAACGGACGAGGACATCAGCCACCCCTAAGGCCACTCCTTTCGCCATTGCTTCGGCGCCATACAGAAGGCCCTCTCCAACGTTGTCCAGCTGGTTGCCAAGAGCCTGCGTACGCATGGAGAGAAACGATGAGATGTTGATATAGAGCAACAGGGTCAGGTTCTCCTTCCACAATCATTCACACTGAACATGATTTTGTTGAGAACCGATGTTGAGCATCTAATTCAGAGTGAAGGCACCACCATTACCTGCTGGAAGTGCCTGTTGCTCATGTCCTCTTTATGAACGAGCCTTGAAGCTCCATGTCCGAGAGCAGTGAGAGTGGAGCTGATGACCCCCAGCACGTCCACACCGGACAGCAGGCGCAGTGACTGGTGCAAGAGATCCCGCAGCACATGCCGCACCACTGCCTCCATGAAGATGCTCCTGCGCAATCGCCTTGACTCGGCTGTTGCCCCTGACAGCCGGACCTGAGATACATACAGAAGGGCAGATACGTAACAAATAAAGAAACTCAATCAGTCACCCAGAAATCCGTATATGCAAGAAGCGCTGCAGTGCAAGGCTGTGAGGTTAGCATTGCCTGTGCATGTGCGTACATTGAGGAATTACTCACTGGCATGCGCTTGGTGTTCCCTGCTGCAGTGACAAGACTGCTCCACGAGCCAAGGAGCTGTGCAGGCCGGGATGTCGGGGCAGCTTCAAGCGTGAGCTTGAGGTGAGCACCCGAGACAACTAGTTGGCTGGAAAGTTGCAATAGCAACACACAAGGAGAGTCTCACAACATCAAGGTGAGATGGTTAGAACCTTGATATGAGCAATACATTACAGTTTCAAGTGGACAGCAACTGTATTGTTGGAATTTCCAAGCCAGTGTGGGATCAGCATAACAAGCGCACAGTGACTCACTCTATGCGAATCATTGGGTCGACCTGGACAGCAGCCACTGCCCCTCCGTCACCACCAGCAGACTCCGGTGCAAAGAAGTGCTCCCAGCAAATGCTCTCCATAAGCTCCCACAGCCGCCACACAATGGCCTCATGTACATTCACTTGCCATGGCTCCTGTGCCAACTGCGAGCATGAAGATGAATGAAGGCAAGCAATGATAACCAATAGAAAAAGTATTTAAGGAACAGAGCATGCTTGACAAACAGCATGGAGAAAGGAAACAAACTAACGGAAATACGACTATAGCAATGGCATGACACACCCAGAGCGTGAGTTTTGGGTAGCAGACTTCGTCTTGCTTCATGCTGCCACAAGACGAGACAAGGAACTTGAAAACATGGTCCTTTTCAGGCATGCCTTTCTGCTCCAAGAACAGTAGCACTGGCAAGGGAGACAGAGGCAGCTGGTTATCAATGCGCAGACTCTTCAGAATCAGCTTCAACCTGCCAAGAAAACACAGGAGAGGTAAGAAACCTATGGAGGCAAGAGAGCAGGGACATGCTCCCTGATTGTATGCTTTCTCCAACCATGGTGAGCCCCACCTGCTTGAGTCATCTTGCCCATCGTAGCGGTAGTTCAGCAGGAAACCTTCTGAGAACGCATACAGCAACTCCTGAGGTCGCTGGTCAATTATTGACAGCCCCACACTCATGAGGTCCAAACTGATCTCCATTCTTGAGCCCTTGTTCACGGCATTGGCGCTCTGCTGCCGCTCGAAAGCCGAGCCAGCAGGGGCGGCCACCTCACCATCCCTCTGCTGCTGCTGCTGCTGGTCCTCCTCCCCAGTTATACCTCCACCGTTCATGAAGCGGATGATGCGGACACTGTCACAGTCAAATGACTGAACGCGCAGGCGTCCACCAGCAGCAGGCAGAGGAAGCGAGGCAAGATCTCCTGGCTCTGACAGATCGTACATCATGGAGCCTGGAGGATGCGCTCTGCTCTCTAGAGACTCTCCAGTGGACTCCTCAAGAGTGCGGGCATAAACCTCCAAAAAGTGATCCCCGTCTGGGTCTTCCCACGCAAACGCAGCAGCTGACTTTGAAAAGAGGACCTCCCATGCTGTCATGGGTAGACCACTTTGCCGGAAACAGACAGTGTGGCTGGAGTGATTTTCAAGCCTGAAGTGAGGAAGAGAGAAATGTGAATCAGAAATGGAGGAACAAAGAAACAGGCAGGCAAGATTCAAGAACCAACCTCAGCCCTGGTGAAACAGGAAATCATAGCCTCACTCACTTAAATGGAAGGTGAAGACCCCCAAACCGAAATGATATCATGTGCTTGGAAGTGGCCCCTCCAGCTCGGCCGTCTATTCGAATGAAGTGGCAGGAGTTGTCTCTCAGCAGTCGCACAACAGCGATCACCTCAGCATCCACTGAGAGCTTGAGTGGATAGCTCCACGTGGATAAACTAGTACGAACCTGCAACGTGCAGCATATCACAGCACCATTCACCAGAGTCAAGAGGGCAAAGATATGAAGAAACAAGCCAAAGAGCAGCCTAGCAGTAGCACCTGGAATGTGTCTGTTCCAAAACCACGTGGGTAAACAAGTGGTTTGTGCCAGTCAGATGGTGCTAACTCCGTGATATGCTCCTCTGCCCCTGGTGGTCTCACAAATACTGCTTCTCCTAGTCGATTAGTGAGAGTGAGCAACGGCCGGACCTTCAGCACCTGCACACAAAGGAAGAAAAAGGTTAGATGGCGTTTGCATGCGTTGGGTATTCCAAAGCTGGCCAAAGCTCGAGATTTAACCTTTGTGGCTTGAGAGCCGAAAGGGCTGACGTCCATAAAAGCCACAAGTGGTAGGTATGAGCCATCGGCTGCTGTGGCTTGTGAGTTGCACATTGTGCTCTGCCGCACAACATAAAGACTTGCGTCAGCGTGCAGAGTTGCTTACAGATGCCAATTTGAAGCATAATTCTAAAATAGATTGTCAACTGAAAACAGGACGTGATGTGGTGTTCCTCACCTGAGATTGAACAGTTGCAATGGACAAGTCGGGCCCATACTCCTCCACGCCCCCTGAGCTATCCAATGCAAAGCGGATAACAGAGGTGTCGTCACATCGAGACAGCATCACTGTGCTTCGTCCCTCAGTCCCCACGTTCACCACTTCGTCCTTTGTAGATTGACTCCGCAGCAGATTCATTGAAGTTTTACCATTCCACTTGTGCTCTGTCCATGGCCGTTTGAAGGAACCACTAGCTATGGCAGCAACTGAAGTCCCATGAGACAGGGAGAGTACCACGGGCGGGCAGCCAGCTGTGTCTACCCAGCAAGGAACTGAGAAGGTGACCTCCTTCAGCGTGCCAAAGGTGGCAGACCAAGTCCGATCGATGGACACTTGAAGATGCCTGAAGGTTTCACAGGAATAAACTAAAAACGTGTGTAGAAGAATAGGAGCAAAAATGGTTGACAAGGGATACAGCAAATATATTTACCTGTGAGTATCCTTGTGCATCAGAGTGACTTCTGACGGAAGAGGCTCTTGAGGGTGAAAGATTATCATACGCTCCTGCATATGCACACACGAACGGACATCAGGAAAGGTCAAGGTTACTTCCACAGGCTGCTGTATCGTTGTATGAAGCAAGTGCCTGTAAGCTCACCTCGGATTCATCTGGTGGAACCCATGATTCACGAATCTTCAGACACACAAGAAGACGACCCTTCGGGTGTACAGACAAGATGCCCTTCTTGGCTCCAGGTTCCAACACCAGGCCATCTTCCTTCAGCAGAACCTCAGTGGATGGAGGATCAGAGCTCCAGATGGACAGGGTGATTGGCTCTGGCAACAAGTTGCAGAAAGTCATGGGCGCTTCTGCAACAATCTCCCAGTCCACGGTTGGAGTGAAGCTTGAGCGCTTGCTTAAAGGAGTGCCGATTGACTCCACCAGCATCCAGCGGGTTTCCGGGTGCTCACTGTCTGTTGATGATCGCTGACAGGACAGCAACTCTTCAGTCTTCCCAAGGGTCAGCAAAGGAAAGTCCGAGAAAGGAGAAAGCGCCTGCTTTGAAGTGGAGGTGTCCCTGAGGACCTTTGAGGCATGCTTGTCAACATATCCCCATGAGAATGGGATGGCAGTGGCTTCAGAGTTGTCAGATTGTGCAACATGCGGCCGAATTTGGATGCACGGGTCAGTGTGATCTGTTGATGCAGGTAGGACAGGAAGAGGAAGAGTGCTGCCTGGTTCAACCAAGCCATAAAGAACTCGACCAGGTGCTTTTGCGAGTGGTGACTGCTGCCGAAATCGCACCCACCGCCTCCTTCGGACGGCATCAGGGAATCCTTTCACCCGATGTGCAGTGCCTCTGGGTGGCCACGATGCCTCCAAAAAGCTTGGGAAGTACGCCCACCCATCCTTGTCCACGTGCTCAGAAACTTCAATGTGCCAGCCGGAACTCCAGATCCAGCCAGCAGGCAGCTCAGGCTCCTTGAAACCCTATGGAACAAAAAGGGAACGGCATGGTGAGTGGACATCGGACAAACAGTCGGAGTAAGTTGCATGGTGCAAACCAGCAGCTTAGGGTTACCTTCGAAGACGACTTTGATTTGAGGTCGCTCCAGCCCTTGGGGTCGATCGGAAGTAGATTAGAGGAGCTCCAACCCAGGAAGGGCAGATGCCTTTCGTTCTCAAAGATCTCAACAACTTCAACTCCTCCACCACCTCCCTCGTCCTGAGAAGCACCTTCCCTTGCTCGTTCTGATACAGCAGCATGCACGGTAGCGCTGCTGTGCTCATCATTGGAGGACTGTGACAATAGTGAGCGTGGGCACAGACAGACCTCCAGTGTAGCCTCTGTCTTGTTCACTACAGTCACCAATGACCTGACATTCAGATGCTTCTCCCCTTCAACCATGGACACTTGAACAGCCAGCACCGTGCCACCCAGTTGTTTGGAAACAACACCACCACCGTAGACAGAGTTAATGGGAGCCCATGGCCCATCCTTCGTCAGTGACATCTGGAAGGGCTGCCACTGCTCCCGGATAGGCAAGTCCGGGACTTCATCCAGAGGTTCCAATCTTCCATCAGCTCCAATCTTGCCAAAGTGGTGGAATACACTGAGGTGAGCAGTGCCATGGTCGCCAGACACCTGCAGACAAAATCATTTGTCAGATGGTGACATTGCACAGAGAACGACTTGCTGACCTGTGATGCAGGCGATATGATGCACACTTACAGGCTCAAGATTGGAGGAGAGCCAAGAGTGGCCTGTGGTGGAATTTTTGTGTGACGAATACTCGATTTCCGCCATATTCACGCCAGGCTTCGCAGCCCAAGTGAAACTGAAAAGAACCAATCCTGCAGCAATGAAGAAAAACGAAAAATCAGCTTAGCTTATACAAAAGCAAAAACAGGAAAGTGACGCTCATGATGGACATACCTGTGAAAGCGCTTCGCTCCACTCCAACACACACCGTCTCTCCTTCCTGCGAGTAAAGTAGCAATCTTCATAGGTAAGATGCTCAAAATCAGAAAGGAGAAACCTATGTTGCAGCCACAGCATTACCTCCAGCGTGCTCTCGAAGAGAAAAACCTCGTTCCAAGAAACCAGCCACGAGTTCCCCGCACTTGCAGGAACCTTCATGCTTGTACGTGCATGCTGAGTGCACTGAAACCCATTGACATCAATGGCTGAGGCCAACGAGACAGAACAGACGAGCTCCTCTGCATTAGAGATCAGCTCCTTAGGAATCTGCAGCAGTTTCAGTAGAAGAAAAACCATGTTCAAAAGTACAGAAGCTGGTAGCTTTACTTTCAATAACAGACACGAGTATCGACCCACCTGGAGTTCGCCGATACCAAATGCAAGAATGCAACCTCTTTGGACGCTGCGGTTTTGCTCTGGTGACGGATGTAAAGAACTGGTCTCTGGTGGCACCACAATGCAAGCCTGGCTGCCAGACGGCAAGCAGAACACTCTAGCCTCCGACTTTTTATCTAGCACTCGGAAGAACAGATCAATGCCAGATGAATTGTGCTGCACGATGTAAGCAGGAAGCTCTGTTGCATGTGTGTACTCTTCTGTGTCCCTTTCCTCATCCTTATCATGCTCGATCTGCAGTGAACAAAGAACACAAGAGAGGAAGCATGGTAAGGCCTTGTACCTCGCATCAACTAGCAAGACATGTGTCATAAACCTCGACTCTCACCATGTGGATGACCCTTTCTGCATCCTCCTTGGCTTCTAGGAGCTTCAGCCAGTCTGCGTACGCCTCTCCAAAGTGATTCACGTTCATTGACGATAGATTGATGTTCACCTTGCTGTTGGACACCACTCGACAAGTTGACAGTGGTGGCTCAAGGCCATCCTTCCCAGCCAACTCAGCCCTGCATCACATCGGTGCGCACATTAGAAACCAGAATGACATGTTTTCAGAAACGAAAATGAGGATAACATCTCAGGCCTTTGAATCACCGGCAAAAGCATACCTGACCATCCCATGCCAAGGCTCCAAAAAGGGCTCCCATGCATCTTGCTGATTGTTGAAGGCATCCACACAGCAGCCAGCGGACACCTGATGGACATCACTGGTGCCATAGTGGAGTGACTTCACGACCAGTTTGTCAAGGCTTATCTTGATGAGTGGTGTCATCTGGCGAGCAAGACATGACCACACATTCATTGTAAAACTCCTTCTGGCAAGTAAAGTTGAATGAGAAGGAACAAATGACCAGCATTTCACGCTCACCAGGCTCCCAAAGTCATCGTAGAGGGTGACAGAGAAAACTGGTAGTGAGACGTCAACATACACTCGTGAGACTGGACGCTGCTCATCCAGCACAAAAATGCCCAAGCCAAGGCGCCGAGGTGGCCCCTTTCGACCCTTTGTGGTGACCAAGAAAGACCCAACCTGCAAATACAACACATATCCCAAATATGAGGCTCCACCTGATTGGGACTGCAATCCACCTACTTTACACAAAATACAGCACACAAGCAGCTGAGAAGAAGTGGATGCGGAGCCAAGCCTGATAAGCACTTTTACCTGATTCTCGACAGGCCAAAGCTTGCACAGGGGCTTTCCCTTGCGTGAGACCAGTTCAAAAACTGGAGCAGCAGCGATTTTGACAGGCACACATGCATCATTCCGCACGCAACGGAAACTGTCTTCGGATGGAGCTGTTTTCCCCACAGTCACAACCACTCCCAAAGAGCTGTAACCGGGTGGTGGAACTGCTGACCAAAAAGCAACGCTGTCTTGTGTGCCTTGAGCCGGAATGTACTTCAACAGCTTCCAGCTTGATGGTTTCACAAGGAGACTGTCATCAACCCCCTCAATGATAACAGTGGAATCTGGTGGAGAGCACCTGAAACCCCAGAAGGAGATGTAATGAAAGATTAGGGTGCTTGGAAGTTTGCCTCCACTTGTGGAGGGATCAAACATAGATTCCGCAGGGGAATTAGAAAAAAAGTAAAGAAAATCAGCTCACGCAGAGAAGAAACGGCGAAAACAATGATTGCTGCATACCCGGAGTGGATGACATCGCCAAGAAATGCAAAACCTTCGGGACAGAGCGGCCTCCACACAGAAATTGCAGTGCTAGAAGTCTCTCTACGTGATTCCCAGGCTAGCTTGAAGAAATGCGCTTGTTGAAATCCTTCTTGCTGCCGTGATGAGATTGCCACAGAGGGAACTTCAAACGACATTGAATCCTCCACTTGCTGAGCCGTAGTCCCAGTTGCAACAGCATCAAGATCAATTGGCAATGATGAAAGATTGCTGGGTGTGTTTGCAGGAAGCTGATAGCGCAAGTCGAATGCAAAGGCACAAGCAGTGTTATAGTCACAATAGGCTTGAATGTGCCTAAAACGAAAGATAGAGAGCACAGACGGATTTCTGCACAGCGGCTTCAAACGTTGATAGCGTTCTGCTCACAGCTGCAAATGACTTGATTCAAATTGGATCTGGAGCGTCTTCACGTCGTCTACAATTAGCAATTTAGATTGCACGATTTGATAAAGAATTGACGACACAGCGTCGGTTTGAACGAACGGTACTATGGCAGCCACGATAGTCTTAGAACACAAGATAGGAAGAGTTACGAGTTGGGAATGACTCCCAGCTCCTACAAACCCCAAGAGCCGAGGTACAGTGATGTGGAACAGTGCCACACTGTCCCCAACCACGAAGGGTCTCGAAAGTACCCTTCACTAGGGCCTACACCAAGTGAAATGTTACACTACACAAAGTAATGTAACTATCTTCAATATCTTGAGGTGTACCCTTTTGGCAAGCTTCGAAATCACTTGAGTCACAAACTCATCCTTGAGTTCTTGATGGGTCTGCTGCACACACCTGCGACACGCCGAACGTTCGACACAGGACAAAATAGAAACCGCGCACGACAAAATAGAAACCGCGCGCGAGACACAAACGACCGCGTAACACGCGTCTAGCGATAACTCGCTATTGACTCGACACACACACTCGACATCATGACTCAACATTCACACACAATTATAAGCATGAAATATATATTATTCCATGCCCTCATACCATTCCATACACACACACATTCACGCACACGGACAACAAGCCGAGTGCAAACCGTAGGGTTGCACCAACAAACTCCCCCTCGGATTGTTGGCCTTAGGATATGTTGCTCTCTCAGTTCAGAGCCATCCCAGCCAGCTTGCAACACTTCCAATGCTGCTGCTCCACCAGCCTCTTGGTCATCATGTCAGCCGGCTGCCCCGTGGTCTTCACGTAGCGCAACTCAACTTCACCCGCGGTTACCATGCTCCTCGTCCAATGCCACTTCACCCTCATGTGCTTCGTGAGTCCATGCAACACAGGGTTCTTAGCAAGAGCAATGGCACCCTGGCTGTCACAGTACAGTGGGGTAGGTCCTTGCTGCTCCTCCCCCAATTCAGCCAACAAACGCCGCTGCCACACAATCTCCCGTACGGCACGGAAGAGTGCCATGTACTCGGACTCCACCGAGCTCAAAGCTTGGTCAACCTGCTTCTTGCTCTCCCAAGCAGTTGGGCCTCCACCAACACAGCATATGAAGCCTCCCACACTTGTCATGTCCTCTGGTTCTGATGCATATGAAGCATCCGAGTAGGCGGTGAGGAACAAACGCCCGGGTTCAACACCATCCGCGCCCTTTTGGCGCCTTTGTGCCGCCGCCGAGTATTGCAGCCCAACGGTCGGTGTTTGGCCAAGATACTTGGCCACCCTCATTCCAGCTGCTACCTGCTCCTCATTAGGGCATTGCACAACCCTAGCCAGCTGCCCGGTAGCAAACGCGACGTCCGGTCGGGTGTTTGCCGCCGCATATATGAGGCTGCCCACCAACGAGTGAAATCGGCGCCTCTCCTCTTCACCAACGCTCTCCTCCTCTGGTCCCTTCACACACTTGAACCCAGAGGGAAAGGGTGTAGCCACATGGCCTTCACTCTGCCCAAAGTTGGCAGCCAATGCCTCCAGGTACTTTCGTTGATGCACCCGCATGCACCGCTTCTCCACATCTCGTTCGATGTGGAGCCCAAGGTAGAAGCTCACGTCACCAAGGGCCTTGCACTTGAACTTGTCTTGAAGCTTCAGCATCACCTCCTTCACAAGGTCAGAAGAGGGTGAGAAAATGAGGATGTCATCCACATAAACCACCATGAAACTCCTCTGCTCCCCCTCGCCAAGCATGAACAAGGAGTGATCGACCGTTGAGGGAGTGAAGCCGATCCCCTCCAACACTTCGCGCAGCTTCATGTACCATTGCCTAGGGGCCTGCTTCAGCCCATAGAGGGCCTTCTTCAGCTTCCACACTCTGCCACTACCATCATCAAACCCCTCTGGCTGCGCCATAAAAATCTCCTCCTCAAGGATGCCGTTAAGGAATGCCGTTACGATGTCCATTTGCTTTACTACCCATCCTTTGATGGCGGCTCCCGCGAATAGGGTTCGCAGCGTCGTCGGCTTCACCACAGGGGCAAACAGCTCCTTGAAGTCCACCTTCTCCTTCTGCTGGTACCCCTTGGCTACAAGCCTAGACTTGTAGCGCTCGATCTTGCCGTCGGCATCCGACTTGATTTTGAAGAGCCACTTGGACGTTATCGCCGTACGCCCCTCCGGTAGCTCCACCAATTCAAACGTGTCATTCTCCTCGATGCTCTTCAGCTCACTCTCCATGGCCTTCTTCCACTCCTCAGCATCACTACTCTCCAAAGCCTCCTTGAGAGTTGCTGGTTCTCCCGGCATCTCCACCGGAGAGAAGAACGCGAAGGCACGCTCCTCGTAGTCACTCTCCTCGTCGTCTCCGACCATCATTGCCGCTCCGGCCAGGGCTGTCTTGCCCTGCTTTCCCGGCGCATCATAGGTCAGCCTATTAGGGGGTTGAACTCTCCTCTTCCCCCTTCCTTCCTCCTCAGCTGCAGGGACTTGAAGGCCTTGGCGTTGCTGCGGTGTGGCTCGAATCCGTGGAGCACTCGTAGTACGGGAAGGGAGTGACGGTGCACGCTCGCTCACTTGCTGCACCTCCTCCTCTTCTTCCTCTGCATCATTGGCCTCCTCTCCCCCATTCACAAGGGAGGATTGCCTTGTGGTTGTGCTGCCGCTGCTCAGCTCCAAAGGCAGCTCCACATGCTCCAAACCGGAACTCTTCACCTCCCCAAACCGCACGCCTATCTTCGCCTCATTCTCCGCCTTCCAATCCTTGTACATGAAGTTCTCCATGAACTTGCAGTCCCTGCTCACCAAGAACTTCTTGGTGAATGGGTCCCAAAGAAGCCATCCCTTGCTGTTTTGAGCCATGCCCAAGTGCACGGCCCACACCGCCTTGGCACCAAGCTTGTTGTGCCGAAGATGCTTAGGCACGAGCGCCATGCACATGCACCCGAACACCCGAAGCATATCCACCTTTGGCTTCCTTCCTAGCCACTCCACATAGGGCACCCATTTGTCTGCTCCCACATGAGTCAAGGCTCTGTTCTTGGCCACACACGCGCTCCGCACCGCATCAGGCCAGAAATAGTCGGGTAGCCCGGCTTCAATGAGCAACCCGCGTGCCGCCTCCGTGATTGTGCGGTTCGCTCGCTCGGCGATGCCGTTCATTGCAGGGGAGTATGGCATGGTGAGGGAGTGCCGAATACCATTCTTCTTCAGCCACAACCCAAACTCCTTGCTCAGGAACTCTCCCCCTCGATCGGTGCGGATTGACTTGACTAGACGGTCTTGTTGCCGCTCCACCATCGGGAACCAATCCGTCTTCAACGTTTCAGCCACGTCGCTCTTCTTGGCCAGCACGTACACCCAAGTCATGCGGGTGTAGACGTCGACAATGGTGAGAAAATACTCAGCTCCAGCAGCTCCAAGCTTCAGGGGGCCCACCACGTCCATCACCACCTCATCAAGCAGTGCCTTTGCCGTTGCCTCCGAACTAGGGAACGGAAACCGGGTGAACTTGGCTTGAATGCACGTCGGGCAGCCAAGCACCTCATCGGGCTCCCCCTTCACACGTATGCCAGCAACCATCTCATTCTTCACTAGCTGCTGCAAGATGGTCAGGGCCACATGCCCCATGCGCCGATGCAAGGTGAGCCAATCACACTCCCCCGTAGCCGAAGTTGGATTGGAGAATGCCGCGCTCGCAATAGCGCCCCACATACTCTCTCCGTAGTCCTCCTCCGCTGCTGCCTCTGGGTTCTCCTCACCCTTTTGCTGCTCCTTGGTTGCTGCACCACTCTCCTTAAGTTCACTGAACTTGCTGGTCCCTCCAGGTTTGCTCTTCTTGAGCTCATTCTCCTTAGCGCGACCGTTCGCGCCATCGTCGCTACCGACCGCTCCATCCTTGGTGCTGATGCTTGCTGCCACTTGCCTCTCCTTAGGCATAGGGACCACTGGGATCTGCCACATCTCGTTGTAGACATCCCTGTCCTCATGAAGGTCCCAGAGAATTCGATCGCCAAGCCTTGCGGTGTAGGTCTTGGCTCCCTTCGAGTTCGTGTCCATGCCGGCCTTTGCCAACCGCCGCATGGAAATCAGGTTTGCAGCAAGGCTGGGCACCCAAAGCACGTTCTTGAGGCCCACCATCTTCCCATCAGCACCCTTGAACATGGCCTTGCCCATGCCTTTCACCTCTGCTCGCTGCCCCAAAGCCGATGTGACATGCTTCACCGGTGACGGCTCGAGTTCGGTGAGCAAGTCCGGGCGAGGTGTCATGCTATAGGTAGCGCCACTATCAATCACCCAATAGTCCAGGGGGTGTAGGGTCACCTTCCCCACAGCTGCTGGCTCCTCAAAGCCTTCATCCTTCTCTGGACCAGCCGGTACTTGCGTCGACACGAAGTAGAATAGACCCGGGTATCGATCGTCGCTCGGGTCCTTGTCGTTGTCTCCGCTCTTCATGTTTGCAGCTCCGCCACCGCGACCGCCACGGCCTCCACGGCCTCGTCCTCTCCCTCCTCCTGCTCCTCTACCCTCTTGGCCTTGAGCAGGGGTCCAACCATCAGGGAGTTTGTAGCAGTCGCGCCACATGTGTCCGCTCTTGTGGCAATAGTGACACTCGCCGTCGAATCGGCCGCGACCGCGTCCGTAGCTCTTGTCGTCGCTGCCGTAACCGCCACTCCTGCGGCCTCCGCCGAAGTTGCTGCCACCAAACCTTCCTCCCCCTCGTCCTCTGCCTCTTCCTCGACCATATCCACGGCCGATGCTCGCTGCCCCAGCGCCATCCGCACTCGCCAACTCACGGCGGCGGAAATCCTCTTGAAGGATAGCTCGCTTCACGTCTTCAAGCGAGAGGCGGGGCAAGTCGCGATTAAGGTTGATGATGAGCGAGGACCATGACTCTGGGAGTAAGGCCAGCAACTTGGTCTTCTTTTGGAGCTCACTGTAGTTCAAATCAGCTCCCTCAAGCCGCGTCAACAAGTCGAAGAATTTCTGCACCCCTTCTTCAACCGCTTCGTCTTCTTCAATTCGTAGTGCCGCCATTTGCCGTTCCAACACCACCGCTACCGCCGCTGTTGCAGGAGCATGTACACCCTTGAGAGCAGCCCATGCCTTTGGTCCTTTCTCTGGTTCACGCTGGAATGGCTTGATGTGACGGATCTGACTGCTCCCCAACGCTTGCCCAAGTAAGAGATAGCCTTGTGCGCTCTTCCGCACCCACGGGCTCTTCTCCGGGTCGTTCTCGGGGCGCTTCTCCGTTCCTTCCATCACCTCCAGCAAGTCATAGTGGTCAAAGATGTTCTCCATCTTGAAGGACCATTCAGCAAAGTTGTCACCGTTGAACTTGTCAAGCCCAAACACCCTAGGCTCATCCCTAGGTGGGCCAAGACTTGGTTGCATGGGCGCCATGGCTGAATCACGGGGTTGGCCTTGAGCTTGAGCTTCTCCACTGCCACCAGCACCTCTGCCACCCCTTTCCTCAGGTCCAGACATTGTCGAAACTGCTCCAAGGATACCACTTGTTATAGTCACAATAGGCTTGAATGTGCCTAAAACGAAAGATAGAGAGCACAGACGGATTTCTGCACAGCGGCTTCAAACGTTGATAGCGTTCTGCTCACAGCTGCAAATGACTTGATTCAAATTGGATCTGGAGCGTCTTCACGTCGTGTACAATTATAAATTTATATTGCACGATTTGATAAAGAATTGACGACACAGCGTCGGTTTGAACGAACGGTACTATGGCAGCCACGATAGTCTTAGAACACAAGATAGGAAGAGTTACGAGTTGGGAATGACTCCCAGCTCCTACAAACCCCAAGAGCTGAGGTACAGTGATGTGGAACAGTGCCACACTGTCCCCAACCACGAAGGGTCTCGAAAGTACCCTTCACTAGGGCCTACACCAAGTGAAATGTTACACTACACAAAGTAATGTAACTATCTTCAATATCTTGAGGTGTACCCTTTTGGCAAGCTTCGAAATCACTTGAGTCACAAACTCATCCTTGAGTTCTTGATGGGTCTGCTGCACACACCTGCGACACGCCGAACGTTCGACACAGGACAAAATAGAAACCGCGCACGACAAAACGACCGCGTAACACGCGTCTAGCGATAACTCGCTATTGACTCGACACACACACTCGACATCATGACTCAACATTCACACACAATTATAAGCATGAAATATATATTATCCCATGCCCTCATACCATTCCATACACACACACATTCACACACACGGACAACAAGCCGAGTGCAAACCGTAGGGTTGCACCAACAAGCAGCCTCCTGTTCTTGACGGGCAGAGAATGTGCTCAATGCATTCTCGATCCTCCAGAGCTTGAACGATTGCAGTCCGTCATTCCTGCAAACAGGAGAATGAATGGGTGAACGTCTTGGTGCCTGTGTATAAAGCATCGAGTGTGTGCCACAGCTGATGCAGACGTACGTACACTTGCACCGTTATGCAGCCACGAAGTGCTGCAGGGAACACATGCGATGCTTCTATGCAGTACACAGCAGACGCTGAGGGAGGTTGTGATCCTGGATGGGCAACACAACCTACAGCCACAAATCCAGGGGGAGGGATTGGCTCCCACACAGAGCACTCTGGACTTGATGAGACATCAGATCCCTCCTCGGATGACCATATCTTCGCAAATGACACTGGTTTTTTCACATAGCCGCCTGCCAGGCTGACAGCTAACACCCCTCTGGTTGGGGGAGCATCACTGCCATGCCAAGGGAAGAAAGCACACTGGTCAAAAGCAGGCGCTGCCACTTGAATCAAATACTATAGAAAACATACAGACTGTTAGATCGAAATGGATGGCATCACTTACTCTGTTGTCAGGCAGTCACCCAGCACAACAAACCCTGGTGGTGCAATTGGTCTCCAAAACGAAATCCTCTGCATGTCAGACCTCCCTGCAAAAACAACGAACAATCTGTGGACCTTGGTGCCCATTCACTGAGTCATTGTGAACCGACGGAAAGGCTTTTCCACTAACCTGCATAGGCCCACACCTTCTTGAACTGCAAGCACAAATGCCGAGGATTTTCAGCAACACTGTACACGGAGCTCATGTACTTCTCCTGCATCCTCAGGATGAGCTCCAGCGTGTTGAACGTGAAGTGCATATGCAGATCAGAAACTGAAAACTGGATGTCCGTGTAGCCTGTTGAGGATGTGAACCTCATTCTAGAATCAACAGGCTCTACTACGCACAACCCTGAGCCTGTGCTGATCCCGGATGACCTGACTGCGACGTTCACCTCCGACATGCCTCGCACAGTTTGAATGCTGCATCAGGACATAAAAGTCAAGTTCACAATACTCAAACCATGAACATGGAATCTGGCAAAAAACAGAAAAGGCTAGTGGGGGACGTCAAACCTGAGATACAGAGAAGCCTTGAGCCTCAAAAGATTCTCTGGAGAAGATAATTGTATTGCTGCCCATCGTGCCTGATCTATGGCAATTAACTCGAACCCAATTGCCTGTGTGTGAATGCAAATGGACCACAGATGGTACACCATATATATGTCGACTTCAGACAGGTGCAACAGGTCTTTTGCGAGCATGTGGAAACACAGGAAAAACTACTCACTTGGAGATTGAACTTCCAATGCCCAGAAGATGGTTCCGGCACATGCTGCGGAGATCTGGGCTTGTCAAGCTGCTGAGACGGTCGATCTTTTGGGCGCATCGGCAGCAATTTGACACCATCAGCTTCATCCACTGAATAACTACTTCTGACTCCCAGTTTGACCACACAGGCAAGCCATTCAGCTCCCTGCATGAAGGGTCATGATTCAATAGCAGTTGCCTACTCACACACTTACAGACAGATAGAAATAACACATTGTACGCTGAGTAACTTACATAGATGTGGACCTTCTTAAATCGGAGGTGTTTTCCTGGGCCGACGATGATAAGAGAAGCTTCAGCAGCAGTAGCTTCGGTGAGCCCAGCAGCCAGCAGTTCGATAAAACCCCCGTTCCCATCAAAAGTAAAACTTGACACACCAGGCGCATCAGCAACAAGAGGCTTCTGAGAGGAAATCTCTAAAACACCAGGCGCTTGCTGAAGCGTGTATGGTGTGTGAAGGTGAAAAGCATCTTCCCATCGAGGAACAGCAGCAGATACAGCTTCAACATCCTCAGAGCGAGTGAAGAAACTTGAAAGGTGGGAGATGAATGGCGGAGCCAGCAGCAGCCGAGGACGCTGAATCCTAAGCGACATGCTCTGGACATCACCTGTGAACTCAGATTCCAGAATCAGCATCGGCAGTGACGGATGGATATGCTCAGCCCCACTTTGTTCACGAGGAGGCAAAGAGAGATGAGTTGGCCATTCAGCAGAAGATGCACTTTCAGATCCCACTGTTGACATCACTCCTTCCATGTCGTCAACAATCCCCAAAACCCAGCGCTCCTCTGCTGCGACTCCAGGGGTCAGGTCTTTGATGAAAACCTGAAAAATAGACAGAAACAACTGCGAGATGCCTCCGCTGTGCAGGAAGTGGCGAAGAGATAAATTGGAAACCTGCCGAACATTGTCCATGGAAATTAGTCCAGCTCACAAGTTAAACCATGACAAGGAATAACCTCTTAAGCAGAAGGCAAGGCATTACCTGAAGTTTGGCGAATGTGGCTTCACGTGAAGATCCTTCATACAGGAGGAGTGCAAGGGACTGGATATGGACAGATGTCTTCAAATCCACATGCTTCAATGGTGCCACAGATGCCACTGGAGTGGAATCACGTGCTGCAGTGGAAACCAAGGTCGACCGTGGCATTTCAGAAAAATTTCCAGAAACACAGTCAAGAACAGTTGCATACTCTGCACTGCACATTCCTCCTTGGAGATGCCCAACCTGCAGGCTCAAAGCAAGAAAAGAGATTTTGGTAAAACTCCTCCCACACATTCGGAACCAAAAACAAGGGCAGAAACGGGACAGAGCCAGTAGTCACCTTCACTGAAATATGGCAGCCAGGCATGAGGCCAGTGGGATCACCCAAAGGTCTCTCAATAAACACCTGAAGGCCCACAAGCCTCTCGATCATATTGTAAGTGACATGACCCTTGGTCATCGCATGCAGGCGAATGCCATCAATCTGTTATGGGGATGAAGTACAACGGCACAAAGAATCAATTTTCAATAAAAAAAGGTCCAAGGAAACAATGGCACAAAAAACCAAGCCTTACCTCCACTTTCATGACGTCCAGGCTAACATCGTGAATTGACTTGCCATCACCTAGAAGCTTCAAGACTTCAATCGAGTTTGAAATCTCCAGCCTTCCCACATCGAACTCAAGGTAGCTGCTCACATCAAACACAAGAACATAAGACACGGAAAATAGAGCGAACGCTCGGAATCAAGATAGCACAGACATACATACTTTTCGCTTGAGGAGGATTCTGGGAGCAGCAGCAGTAACTCGCCAAACAAGACAGCGAGCTTGATTGGTGTTACTGTTGCATCGACAGCATGTGCAGACGGGTCTTTGACAGATTCAGGAGAATGAAGAACCTGCTCTGTGTCTTCTTCAGGTGGTGGTGAGAGCCCGGAAAGGTATGATGTAACCTGAAAAATAGTTTGTCATAGCCATGAGAACCGATAGTCGTAAATGAATGAAAAAAAACAGGAGCAGAGACACAAAACAGATGGAGAAGACAAAAGGTTTGTAGAGATCGTCACTCACTTCTTGAATAAAACGGTTAAGGTAGACCACTCGAATTTCAGAGGTCTGCACACTGAGAGAGTATTCGGAACCACCTCCGTTTGAACTAATGCTGGAGATTGTCAGCATAATCTGCGAACAGGGACACGGAGGTCATAAGGCTGTAGCAACCAGGAGATGAATAAACGGCTCATGAAAGAAATCACTACCTTTGCAAACGATTGGCCTTCAGTGCTTCTTGGGGAAAACATCAGGCCATATTGGTGGCCTTCACCCAAGCTGAGGTCGCAGATTCGCAGCTGACCAAGCTCAGCATCAAGCAGAAACGAGCTTGCACAGACCTGCAAGTCATGTCTGATTCGTGAGAAGCAAGTTCATGGAAGCTTGAACATGAGCAGAAAGACTTGACCAAACTTCACCTGTAACTGGAACATAAGCTTCTGTTTTGTGAGCACTGCAAGGGGAAGGCCATTATCTCCATTCAAAGTAATCCGCAAGTCCCCCACACCAAGAGTCAACCTGAAAAGTGTCGTCTCTTTCTCCTCTGCTACTGCTGCCTTCACTGGTAGAGAGCTAGGATCTGCTGCACTTCCAGGTTGTGACTTTGCTGGTTCGGGTGCAAAAGTGGGCACAGCGGCCATGTCAAAGGACACTCCAATCAGTGCCAGGACAGTGGGTCGGTTGCAATAAAAGCTCAAGCCACTCAGGTCCAATATTAGCTGCAGAAAAATACGAGCACGATTAGGGACTTATACAAAGTAGAGCTGACAACATGGGGGGGAGTGAAACAAATACCTCAGCATTCACGCCGGAAAACTCTGGAGAATCTGGAACGCGCATGATGTACTGGACTTGCACAAAAGCACTTGTTCTCTTCCAAGGTCGGTCCAACAAGGCAGGCCTGCTTTCAAGAGAAGGAACTTCGTCGGCTGTCAGCGGCTTATCTCCACCATCCACTGGAAAGTCCACAGCATCGTAATAGTCTGACATGCTCGACCGGTGACCACTCGTTTCTTGCGATGGATGCGTCGGAAATGACAATTCATTGGCATCATGAAACACCTCACTCGTCTCTTCCTTATTTAGAGACCAGTCCTTTGGCATGCTGGGGGTTCTCAACATTTCGCTGGATCGAGCAAGAAACCGGCATGCCGGCCCAGCATCGCACGAGACAAGATCTTTGACTTCAAGTGATGAAAGAGCCACTCCAAGAATAAGGTCAGCGTTTTCAAGGAGTGTGGTTTCGACCTACAGATGGCCACTTAAATCGTTACTATGTTGTCAGTTATAGACGCACTGTGAAAAGGGGAAATGAGCCAACATCACTCACCACAGCACTCGAGGCCTCAAGAACCACAAGGGGAGTCTCAGTCACTGAGTGCACATCCGGAAGGTGACGATTCTGAACAGCAGAGAAAAGAAACGAGGTTAACGATAGTGAGAAAAATGCATCACCCGAAGATTTTGCACTCTACCTTACCTTCCCATGCAATGTCATCCGCAAAGTACCCATTTCTCCAACAAAGAACACCGCCACAGAATCAGCTGGTCGGACATGTGGCTGGTGTTGGGACCCCAGCGACGAGACTTCACTCAACTGAGACAATGCTGTATCCTGAACATGAAATTAAAAAGGCTCATTCAATACGCACAGATTTTGCATAAGCGTATGACCAACATCTGGTTTTGAACACCTACAGAGGCTCGGTGAATGGCAGAAAGCAAGATGGACTTCCAAGCTTCATAAGCCACCGCAGAATCTGGCTTGAAAAGCATGGCGGTTGAGGTTCTCACAGCCTGCATACACCAAACCAAAATTTCAACAAAAAAAATGTAATGGAAAGCACGAGAGCACAAAAGCTCCACGTACCTTCTCCTCAGTGCAGCCAGGAGGGCAAATCACAAGGGCATTCTCCAGCCCACCGGTGCCATTTTGTGTAAGACAGAGAAGAATCTTGTTTCGAAGGCTGCATCGAAGCAAGTCAGGCTTAGTCATGGAAGCGGCAAGAAGAAGAACAAGAAAATACTGAAAATAATGCACGCTCCCACCTGATCCGCTGCTTGTAGGAACGACTATTTTCCAGGGGTAGTATGTACAGAAAGGGCCCAGCCACAGCCCCCACCCTCTTTTGCCAAGCAATTTCAGTACTAGATATGCCCTACAAGCCACACTTACACATCAGTCAGCATAATAACCTTGACAGTGTCAATGCGATTTCTGTTCACAATGCACACCTGTCTTATGAGAACGTGAATGCAGCCTTTGTAGTCAGCAGACTCCCAAGGCACAACAGATGCAGTTTGGGAATCACATCCCTGCAAAGCCTCAGCTGATCTCAAAAGGCAATGGAGTATCTCAGGAGAAAAGTGAACTTCCAGAGATGGAGCCCTTGCACTGATCCTCAAAGTTGGAAAATCAGGCTGAGGTACCCAGATCTGCATGAAACCAAAACGACAAATAAAATTGTCTTTGAACACAATGAATCAAATTGTGAGCGGCAAAAACGCATCCCCACCTGTTCAATTGATGACACGAAAGTGCAGTCTTCCAGCACAGGAATCGATTTCAGTGTATGTGATTCTGTGGCTGCAGGTTGGTACCCAAGACTAGCAGAAGCGTTGACAATCTGGAAACAGGCTGAAACGTTTTCCAATTTGGCATGGAACTTCATGTACAGGTCTGAGGTCGTGGTTGATGTGGATGCATGGTTTGGCTGCAATACAAAAAACGTAAATTATCGGCAGGATAGAGTAGCAGCAATAACTCAAAACCGTATATGCCTTGACCCACCTGCGCCCTTGAATCAAGGAAAAGATGGCCAAGATTTAACACCAATTTGGTGCTTTGGAAGCCTTCGGACAGAGATGGGACTGTGATTTCAGGAGCAAACACATCAAGGACAGCCTCAAATCTGCAAGCCACAAAAAAAACGACAGAGATGAAGGCCGTTTCGACAAATTTTGGCAAGAATTCAGCAAGCAATCGAAATGGCAGCATATACCGGGAAACAGAGCGCATGAAGTTCGTCAGCTGTGCCTGAGCCTGGCGTTTGATTTCTTCAACAGTTTGCTGGGAAAGAACCAAGCAAACAAACAGATAAACAACAAAAGTCAGAGGCCACAAAAGATCACCAACCAGAAATGAAGCATACAGGGGAATACTAATACCTCAAAAGCGTCAGCAGTGTCCAATGCAAGAGCAGGACTCAAGGCGTCGTTACTCTGAAAGAATTCAATGATGCGGTCCAAGCTTGACTTGATGAACTGCAAACAGTAGTACATGTGGACTGTTTAACCATTGCCATTTTCTATTTACCGTACAATGGCGAGATAAGAATAAATGCTGCATACCAGAACATGAGCCTGCTGAACTGAGCCATGCAATAACCAGTCCAAGTTCTGTCCCTTGGGATGCATCACACATAGAAAATCCAGGGTGTTCTCTGGCCCTTGCCCACTCCAAAAAAGTGCTCCCTCTGGTGATTCCACACAGTATGGTCCAACTTGAACATGGATATCTGTGGTTTCCAAATGCATACTGGATGCAACTTGAATCCTCTTGCAGTTGAGGCTCAAAAGGGAAACGCCATGGGAATCCTTGATAACTGATCTGCTTTCCTTCACATGAACAGACCACCGTGTATGCACAATCTCAGAAACTGTGGTCTCGCTGTTTGTAGCCTCGGGTAATAGCGCTTGCAACTGAGTCCAGTCTTCAGCATCAAGCTGGGCCGGGAGGGCAGTGTTTCTGAACAACAACACATGACAAAAGGATCAGACATGGACATGAGCAAAACGAGAAAAAAACAACAAATATCATGCGCACCTAGAAGCTTTCCCCTTCTGTTTTTTCATTTCTTGTGAGACGAGCTCATGAGCGACAAGCCTGCAAAAGGAGAAACATCATGGTGATTTGTGTGTCCTTCAAAAAGTATATATACATATACATGTATGTATCGACATAAATTACCTCCACTGCAGCAAAACCTCTGGTTCAACATCCGTCTCCAAGGACAAAAGCTCCTGATTCCTTTCAAAGGGCTTTTGGACAGCTCTTCGGAGAAGGTGCTTGGCATACAAGGGGATGTATGCATTCCTTATTCTGGTGCGGCGAATAAGCTCATTCCAGTCCGTGAAGGATCTGCAATTGTTGAAATGTTGAATGTGTTAGTTCTGAAATGGAGTAATCCGTCATACACTAAACTAACAAGGGTGAACGAAGAGAACACAGGCTATGCCACCACCTACCGCCCCTTCTTGATTTTCTTCATTGTTGCCTTTATTGCAAATGTCCACCATGCTGAAGGACATTCTTGAATGCTGCACGAAGGTCGGATATCAGCCAACTCTTGTCGCCGTTGGGCAGCTGCAAACTTGTCAACAAGCTTCATAATCAGCCGATACTGGTCCTGCAGTCATCAAAATCGAACTATGAAATGCTGCTTATTGAAAAACGCAAATCCGTAATTTTTGCTAACGAATGACCACAGAGATACCTCCGAAAGCGCAAATGAAACACTGTCAAGCGTCACTGTGAGATCTTGTTGAGGGGTGCCCGAGAACGCAGTCTGGTTCTTTCCTGCACGACTGTATGATGCTGCTCCATTCAAAGGCTCGACCAAATATTCAGATGTTGAAAACTGCCAGCGATCGCTTGATGCAGTCTGTACCACCAAGACACTGTAGGTTCAGTATCCAGAAAAACAAAGAGGCAGACAACCTGATAGACACACGACATACCGTCACGTCATTCAATGATGGCTGGCAATACACTGATAGACCATGTAGCTCCAGAGCCTGAAAATCACAGATTTGTCATGTCAGCCTTCTCCCATATTCAAGAAAGTACCATGCTAGTTCAACTATCAATCTCATACCTTTCTAGTGCAATCAAGCTCTCCACCGGACACGTAAGTTTCCTTTCCATCCTTGTCAACGGAAAAGGCAGCAAGCCTGTCAAGTTGGATCCCCACAGCTGCAGGTCCATGGATTTCACTGAAAGACAAACCAAGAAAAATCAGTAGCAGTTGCACATGATAAAAGGATCACGCTAGCGTTAACCACCTCAATGAGTCTTCGTATCGAACGTGTATGTTGGAGATGCTTAGCTTGAGGTTCCCGATCACACCATCCACAATGGTGCTCAGCCAGGTTCTGGTATCTCCCTGCAGGTTATTGAGTAAAACAACCAGCAATAGTAGTAGCTACTATGAACAACGTGCGACCACAATTTCTCCTCTAAAAAACGCTGGATAATTCAGCATTGATAGCACTTACGGTGTCTTTTCCGACGCTGGCATCGCGTCGAGACAGGATCAGCTCCTCTGCATCCTGAGGGAAATTCAACGTTCACCGTTCAACGTTTAATAAAAAGCAGGATGATACGCAGATGCTTACTTGAACGCGCTTGCGCTTGGCGTTCAGAGATGATGCCGGATCAAGAAAGACAGACTCGTTGGGTCCAAGTAAGAGCTCAAGTCCGTCCAGATGAATGACTATTGATGACCTTCCGAGGCTCTTCCATGGTATCTGAGATCATATGACAAGTCATAATGTTACAATTCAGGTAGTACCCCTGGCATCTAATGCTATTCCGTGCTTGAAACGGGTCGCTGGAATTCTCGACTAACCTGAACGCGCAAGGCCTTTACGATTCCTGACTTTATTACAACTGGTAACTGCAGGCGTCTAAGCGCTTCAGGTCGCAAGCTAATATTCTTGAGCTCAATGTCACCTGAAATCCCAGGAATCGCTAATAAGATAACTAAATATCTGCATCTGCGGTAAAACTGAATCCACACTTATCCCACCTTTCCACACACTAACTTTCAGCGCTTCCTTCGACAGTCCAGAGAAGTATTCCCCGAGATACTTCTGCAGTATCGATGTCAGTTTATCTTCCAACATGGCTAGTGAGTAAATTGACCAAGCGCGAACATGCAGCTCCAGGGAACAAGAGAACAGATTACTCTCATAGAAGACGGGTAAGCGAGTTTGCAGACAAGGCTGGTCTGACAGGGACCACCAGAGAGCAATTATCCCCTTTCTGGCGCTCCCATGTTTGGTTTGGGTGTGGCGGTGACAGAATTTGTCTACAGTTTCTACTAGGCTTTCCGAAATATTTGCTTCTCTGTGAGTGTTGGAATCTAGCGACAACACAATGTTTTCTGAACGATTTAGCACGGTTCTAGAGAATCTGACAATATAAGACAATCTGACATACCTCCTCCCTTTCCCCTGCTCGACCAACGAAAGCTCCCATCTCTGTCCGCCATAGAAAATAGGTGGTTCTAGCGAAACGACATCATGGATGGTGAGACGGAACGAAAGATCGCAGCACTCATTCTAGCTGAGGCCCAGCGGCTCAAGGCGAGAGCTGCTGAGGAGGGCGTTAGGGCGTATCTGAAGCCGCATGTTCGGTATCGTCCTAATTCGCAATTCCTCCGAGCTACCGTGCAGAGTGTTGAGTATGGTGAGCCTTTTTAAATGGCAAACGTCACATCTTTCACTAACCTCAGCGTCAAAGCGCCGTTTCCGACATCACTTGGGCGGAGTGGCACCTTTTCGTGCCATCTGCACTTGCGTTACGCAGCCACCTGCTGCTCACTCCCCACTATATTCCACGTTCGCAGTCGAACCCCGCTATTCGGATTGTAATCATGATCCATGCGTCCGTTAACATAGACTCTTTCTTTCAGAATTCTCGTCTTCGTGAGCTTTTATGTTAACAGCTTACTGTATGGTCGAAGTAAAACTTTCGAATTTCTGTCTTCTTGAACCCTGATTCAACAGCCAACCGCGTGGCGGACGTGAACGAGATGTGGAAGGAGCGAGAGCTGGAGCTGGCAGAAAGCCGGAGAGATACACGCGGGGATTCAGCTGAGCGGCCGATGACGCCCAGGGATGCAAGGGGAGAAGGAAGCGTGCGCGAAGCGCGGAGAAAGCCGAGAAGTGGCGACGGCTGGAGGAGGGAACGAAGAGAGGGGAGCAGGGATTATGTTTATTGGGAGGAAAAGAGGGGGATGAGAGACGACCAAGAGAAGGGCTGGCGCAGAGGGGAAGAGGAGGGAAGAGCTTGGCGAAGAGGGAGAGAGGATGAAGAAGGGCCTTGGCGGGGAGGAGGAGAGCACGGGAAGAAAGGAGAGGACGGGAAGAGAGGAGAGCATGAGAGGAGAGGCACACAAAGAAGGGAAGGCTTGAGAACCAGCAGCGGTAGTTGTAGGCAAGAGAGGCACATCTCGCCTTTGCCATTAGGACAGAGAGGGAGCACTGGAGAGCATAATAACAGTGACGAACTCGAGGCACGGAGAGATCAAGGGTGGGATGCTACTTATGGGGAAAAGCGCAGCAGGAGTCCATATGGGAGTGATTCTGCACAGGAGGAGACACGGTTTGGGAGGGACAGGAGGGGTGACAGAAAGGAGCAGAGGAGTGGCGAGAGAGAGGACAGAAGTGGAGGAAGAGGGAACACGATCTTGTGGGAAGACGAAGTTGGTGATATCAGGAGCGACAAACGAGGAAGATGGGAAGGACGGGACGGAAATGTTCATGCGGCGAGATGGGAAGGAAGAAGGGATGTGAATGGGGAGATGTGTTGGGATGAAGATCACTGGCACGGAGATAGGCCAGAGTTTTGGGAAGAGGATGATCATAAGGAAGGCATGAGAGATGAGGGACGGGGAGGAAGGAGGTCCGTGCGAGTACGGTCGGATGAGGAAGGGAGGTGGGGGTTTAGGGAGGAAAGACATGAGCGAGGCGCATCGCCTGATGATAGTCCAGACTATCGGGATGGTGATGGTTACTGGAAGAGACGAGGGCGAGAATCTGGGGACATTTGTGGGAGAAGAATTGGGGGACGACATGAAAAAGGGGAGGAGCACGTTGGACAGGAGAGGGAACAGAGGTTTGATGGGACATGCGGGGATGGTTCGGTGCAGGGAAGTGGGCACACGGAGGTGCAAAGGGGAAAAGAACACAGGAAGAGGTCCAGGCAGGATGATGCCGATGCGGAGCAGAAGGGCATTGATGACTCTGACCTTCTTACTTTCCTCAAGACTAGGTGAGCTCCTCGCCTACACCTAATGACTACCATTTCTCTTCTCGCTCCTCAATTTCGCCCTCCCCCCCTTTCCACCTCGGATAATGGATTCGATTAAAGTGGTCAGCAAGTCAGTTTGATGCATGCATTCCATGTTAGGTTGTTCAGTACTGACGATGAAAGACACATTTTTCTTTCCCACTATCAACCATGTCCCCTTTTTAGCCATTTCAGAATCCTCCCTTCTTGCCTCTACTTCTTTGTGATTCTATCTTTGCCCTCCCGCTGTGCTCTCCAGGGCCAAGAGAGGCAGAGGAGCCATTGGATCCAGGGCTGATGCATGGGGATCGGAGCCACCTTCTGTACTCGCAGGCGTGCAGGGAGGCGCAGAGGAGGGGAGTGGAGCAGTGGGCATGCTGCTGGCGCGAGTGAGGGAGGAGTGGGAGGACAGCGTGGTTGCTGGAAAGGGTAGAGGGATATCGACCTCATGGGCAGCTGCTGACCCTGCTGCTCTTGGTGCTGCTGGTGCCGCTGGTGTTGCTGGTAGTGGTCATGCTGCAGGTCGAGTTGGTGGTGCTTCCGCTGGAGGGACTGATGGCCGTTGGATTCGAGGTGTTGCACTGGATGAATGGCCTCGTAGCACTGCTGATGGTGCTGCTGGTAGCAGTGGTAGTGGCGGCAGTGGCAGCAAGAGTAGCGGTGACGGTGGGAGTGGCAGTGGTGGCACTGGCACTGGTTCATCGAGCAGTGAGAGCAGCTCGAGTTCGAGTGAGAGGAGGGAGAAGAGGAGGAAGGAGAGAAAGAGGAGGAAGCGGAGCAGCAGCAGACACAGGGAGAAGAGGGAAAAACACAAGAAACGACGAAAGGTGGAGCACTCAGAGCGCAAGAAGCGACATAAGAAAGAAAAAAGAAGGAAGCACAAGAAAGGCTCGGAGCAGTGACGCAGAGCAATCTTCGTGTCTTTGTACATAAAACATACAGGTTTGAAGGACACATCCAGGACACGTTCGGCCCCAAAACTGTCACCACTTTCACGTGATTGGTCGAAAGTTTTGAGTGGGTTTTTGACGCGATTGGTTCTCGATTTTCCCACCGAACCTCCTTCTGGGGTTTTTCGAACCTACAATTTTTTTGTTGACTTCATTGTGTAATTTGGGGTGTGGCCAGTCTTAAAACCAGGGTGCACATTCAACGCGGTTCGGCTTGAGATGTTGGGAAGGGGGTTTGGAGAAAAACAGTGATTGGCTCACGAGGGGCGACAAAAAAATGATTCCGCTAGAGCTTCGGGCATTTCGTAGGTGGCGGGAGGGGGTGAAATGGCGGGAGTGGGTGAAACCGAATGGCGGGAGGGATGAAACAGATTGGCGGGAGGGGGGGGAAACGAAATTGCGGGGGAGGGGGGAAACAAAATTGCGGGGGAGGGGGGAAACGAATTTCGACGGGGAGGGGGAAATGAAATTGCGGGGGCGTGGGGAAACGAAATTGCGGGGGAGGGGGGAAACGAATTTCGACTTGAAGGGGTTGAAAGCACACCTCGTAACCCACTCAGTCAAGGGATAACCTTTGATGCACATTCAGCTGAATGTGCACCCCGGTTTTAATGGGAAGTAGTGTTCCTACCCAGTTTTGGCCTTGCACAATACTTGCACAAGCTTTACACTTCGAGAAACATTACCTTTACTGCTCATATGTTTGTGTTAAGTTGCATTCATCATCCAGCATTAAAACCCAAGGTCTTGTTGTTATAATTAGTGTGCTGGCACTTTATTATGTAAAAGTTTTTTCCACGCAAGAGGAGCAAGCATTGTATTCCAACTATGACACAGGTCATAGCTATTACACTGAATTTTGTCCTGAGGAAACTCCTGAATCACGGTTACGCAAACCTCTAGCGAGTATGGAATGAAAGACAGTCTTCAAGGTTTATGTTGGGAGACTCACCTTTTCCTCCCTTTCCTCCCTGCCATCCCCTTGTGCGGAAGGCATACCTAGTATCAGTCACACGCAACGCCGATAGCGCCTGATCCGTTTCCTGCAATCGCATTTCCGCTCATTTTGATTGTGCACTGATCCGTTCCTCTTCTTGCTGCGCGAATCCTTGAATCAGATCTTTAAATATTATCTTTGCGAAAAGCTAGCAGCCATGCCGAACGTCGACTGTAGAATGTACGAGGCGAAGTTTCCGGAGGTAGAGCAGGTGGTGATGGTTCAAGTTAAGAACATCGCCGATATGGGCGCGTATGTCTCGCTTCTTGAGTACAACAATATCGAGGGTATGATTCTCCTATCGGAGCTATCCCGTCGTCGCATTCGTTCTATATCGAGTCTGATCAAGGTCGGCCGGCAAGAGCCCGTTATGGTGGTCCGCGTGGACAAGCAGAAGGGTTATATCGATCTATCGAAGCGGCGTGTATCGGAGGAGGAGGTGGCGGCGTGCGAGGAGAAGTACAATAAGTCCAAGATGGTTCACAGCATCATGCGCCACGTGGCAGAGACGTCCGGCGTCGATGTCGAGGTGGGAACGATCGCACGGTCAGAAGTCCGTTAACCGAATCTACTGTTGTCTCTCGCCCTCATCTTATCAGTATTTGCTCACAGCGTTCCCGTTGTTAAACCCTTTTCCCAATATCCACCCATGGCATATTCAGAGACCTCCGCTGTTTCTTCCAAATTCTTGGCGCCCCTTTGAACACCTTTCCCCCTCTCCCGTCCCCCTCTCTCGTCCCCCTCTCCCCTCTCCTATTCCTCTCTTCCCCACCCCCCACCCTCTCTTCCCCTCTGCCTCCTCCCGTCGTGGCCGTGCAGGAGCTATACACGAACGTGACGTGGCCGCTGTACCGCAAATACGGACACGCGTTCGAGGTGAGAGCGGGACTACCCCTGCTGCTGGGGGTTACCTAGAATTCGACTTTTGTAATGACTTGCTCGCAAGAAGTCGAAATGAACCGGCTAAGAGCTATAGGCGGAGAAAATTCTTGTTTCAGGGAGCTTTTGCGTGAATTGGAGCAGTTATATTGAGTGCATTTGAATTGAGGTGGGTGGAGTGCAAGACATCTAAGGATCTGGGCCGTACCCCATTATGAGCCCTTCGGCCAGAATCCCACTTAAAAGGTCACGTGGATAGAGCCCTTACCAGTTGATATGGTTCTGCATGATGTATTGTGCTGGGTGCATGATTGTGTCTGATGACATTGACCGGTGACCGATGTACTTGTGACCCATGACCCTTAACCCATGATGACTTATGATCCACCCATAATCCACAACCCATGGCAGGCGTTCAAGCTGGTGGTGACGGATCCAGACGCGGTGCTGGGGGGACTCACCAAGGAGATCACTGAGACAGGCGAAGACGGCAAGGAGGTCAGTTGTGGGATGCAGCAAGGGGGTTAGTCCTCAGCCATACAGTTTGAGAAGACTGGAAAAAGTTGGTGAGGTGTTTTTTTTGTGATGAAAGGAATTTAACTCAGGATGGTTCATGTTTGGGGTTGGGTCACACCCGACTTCCTTTCCCTTCGCCCTAGTCACCCTCTCACTCTCTCTCCTCCCACCCTAGTCACCCTCCCAACCTTGCACCCTCACACCCACCACCCTCCCGCCTGCTGTCAGCCCGCTGCAGGTGAAGAGGGAAGTGTAGGTGATGCTAGAGGACGTGCGGGCGAACCTTATAGTGTCACCTCTCGGTCTTCCTTAACATTCCCCCTGAATCCTCCACCCTCCCACCTCCCACCATCCCACTCTCTGTGTGTGCGCACGGCAGGTGAAGAGGGAGGTGCCGGCAATGCCAGAGGACGTGAAGGCGAACCTGATTGCCAACATCCGGCGCAGAATGACCCCGCAGCCCCTCAAGATCCGAGCCGACATCGAGCTCAAGTGCTTTCACTACGACGGCGTGCTGCACATCAAGGTGCGCCCCTCTGAACGCTTGTTGTCGGCATGCTCTTTTATTCTTTCTTTCTTTTGGAAGTACGCCTCTGAGCGAGCCGACATTGAGCTCAAGTGCTTTCACGAATCACTACGACGGCGTGCTGCACATCAGGGTGCGCCCACCTGCAGACTTGCTGGCGGCGTTTCTCCTTTGTTTATTATTGTAGCACCAGTCAATCAATGCCTTTGACCCGACATTGAGCTCGAGTGCTTCCACTACAATGGCGTGCTGCACATCAAGGTGCGCCCTACCCATCGCAGCCTTAGAGCTGGTAGCTGAGTGTGTCTGGACAGAACACATCTTGTTTCCCCACCCACACCTCCATCCCCACCGCCCCCCCGGCCTCTGACCCCGCCCTCGCCCCTTCTACTGCCCTGCCCTGCCCCTGCTCTCTTGCCAGTGTGCTATTCACCGTACCGAACCGAGCACGTTTTAGTTTGCCCTCCATGCCCCCACTGTTGCCCCTTCCCCTGCCCTCACCATGCCCTCTCCCCAGGACGCCATGTGCCGGGCGGAGCAGGAGAGCGAGGAGGACTGAGTTGAGTATGTCTGGACAGGACACATCTTGTTTCCCCCACCCCCACCTCCGCCCCCGCCCTCGGCCCTTCCGCAGCCCTCACCGTGCCCTCCCTCCAGGACGCCATGCGCCGCGCGGAGCAGGAGAGCGAGGAGGACGTGAAGGCGAACCTGTTGGCGTCACCTCCCTGTCATCCTTACCCTTCCTTCCTGTTCGTCTTCACATCCCCTGCCCTCACCTCACCGTGCCCTCCCTCCAGGACGCCATGCGCCGCGCGGAGCAGGAGAGCGAGGAGGACTGTGCGGTGCGCATTGTGCTTGTGGCGCCGCCGCTCTACGTCCTCACCACCTTCACACTCGCCAAGGTGGGCTTGCGAACGGGCACGCTGCTCATATATGTGATAACCACTCTTGTTGTACTGCTCTTCAAAGCAGTGTTCACTTGTCTTCTCATGCTTTCGTGATTGGCTGCGTCTTGGTCACTCACTCTCTCAGCCCATGGTAACCCCCCCTCGTCCTCCTCCACCCCCCAATTCTTGCAACAGATGCTCTTCAGGCCAGCACAGCAGCAAGTGAACTGTGACTTAACTCATCCGCTTGTCCCTCGCCTACCTTCCCCCTCTTGTCTTCCCCCACACACATACCCCCCCTCCCCGGTGGTGTCTTTCAAAACGTCCGGTGCAATCAGGACAAGGGCATAGCGGTGTTGGAGCGGGCCATCAGAGCAGCGAGTGAGGAGATCGACAAGCATAAGGGCAAGCTCACAGTCAAGGAGGCGCCGCGAGCGGTGAGTGCATGGCATGGCGGGATGAAGGAGCAGCGTGGGGGTGAATGCCTGGTGTGATGAAGGAGCAGCGCGGGGGTGGATGCACAGAGTGGGGATTGAGAATTTGAGAATGTACAGCTGCAAGGATGATGACCACAGGATGCATGACGGCTGCAACTGGAGGTGATTAGTGGCGATGTGTTCTTGTGGGAGTGCGTAGTTGGTGCTTGTACTTGCGTAATTTCTCCCACTGGGAAAACGCTTGCAGAATTAATGCTCTTACCACATCTCTCAGCACGCGGCTCCCCATTTCTCCTTCACTCGCTACTCCCTGGTCCTGGTTGTTCACTTGGTACCACCCCTTCCCCCCACCACCCCCCCCCCCCCCCCCCCCCCCCCCCCCCCTCCCCTCCCCCCCCAATTCCCACCTTTCCTGCTGCTGTCCCGACCCAGGTGAGTGACCGTGATGACCGGTTGCTGGCAGAGCACATGCAGAAGCTCACAGATGCCAACGCTGAGGTGGATGGGGACGTGGACAGCGAGGATGAGGACGAGGGCATGGGCTCTGTTGACATTGACAACGCCGGTCTCACCGAATAGATTACCAGGAAAATTGGGCAATTGGAGTGTTTCAAAGGTGCTCGCAACCCTAGGATAATTTTGTGTTTGGATGGACTGAGTGCGGTTAGGTTAGGTTGTATGAAGCATGTTCAGGCCATAAGAGCTTGTGTGATGGGAAGCCACTGGTTGCAATGCAACCATCTACCATCTATTTCCTTACATTGTGTGCTGTGCACTGATAAGTGATTGTAAGTTGCAAATGATGCAGATCCCAAGCGTGTGAGGGAAGATAATCAGATCCTCTTTCGTACTCTCCATGAAGGATACGTCACTGGACTGGACTCTCGAGCACACCCATTTTGACTGAGTGCGGGTCAGCGGCATTGAAAGCCTACACCGAACTGCAGCTCATATCACCCAGCTTGATCCCATGTTACCTCCGCTTCCCCGCACCTTCCCGATTTCGTGTGTCCATCTGCTGAAATCGTCCCTCCCCTCCACAGAATTCCCATGCGTAGATTAGCAGTGGAAGCTAAAACTACTGCTCGTTACTCTTCTCGTACTACGACCAGACAGCAGGAGTAGCTGCTTTTCGCAACCAGATTCTAGTCTACCCTGCTACTCAAACTGTGACTGATTATCTTCATTACGCGTGGCCATTCGTTCTTGCCCTAAAATCGCACGTGTCGAACTTGAAACTTGTCCACGCATATTTTTTCTCACACAGATTTATCGGTCCACCCATTCGCCCATTAGTAGCGGCTGTGTCTTAGACGGCGGATTCTGACCGGCCGTGGGAAAACGGTGGTCACAGACTTCCTCTTTCTGCTGCCAACTGAAAGGTGCTCGGCGGCGCCATGGATCTCTTATTTGGAAAAAAGAAAACACCAGCAGGTAACGGCGGTGTAACCAGCCTCGCAACTAGACATTGAGTCCACGGAATGTGTTCCCTCTTTGTTTTTTATGTCTTAGTTGGGATTCTGACTTACTCGGTCTTCGCAATTTCCTTGAATTGCGATGTACATTCCGGCTTGAAGTCTCTGCCTGTGCGTACCTCTATTCCTGCAACGCCTGCGAGCTTACACCTCGCTTTCGACTTGTTTTCCACCAATGCATGCCATCGAATGATATGTCGCGCGTTTCATGGCGAAATTATGAGGAAGTCGTTGTCCTTGCCCCACTGCTTCCTGAGCACCTGATTGAGACCTTCCAGAAGCACAAGCGCATGCAAAATCGATGCGCAGTTCCCGACACTTTCGTTATGCCTGACCAGAGAGAGAACCTGTGCGAGAACAAGCGCATGTGAAATCACTGCACGGGCCTCTCTACTTTCCCAGTGCTTCCGTCTTCCTATGCTGTCTTCACACCCTGACCATAGATTCTGGGCGAAAGTAAGCGCATGTCATACCATCCGCTCTGTCCTCAGTGCGTTTCCATTCTTTCCTCGTGCCTGACCAGAGATCCTGCAGGAGAACAAGCGCATGCTGGAGCGGTTGATACGGGAGCTGGTCGGCCTTTCAGACTTTTCAGTAACCAACTAGACTCATATCATTTCACTGTCCTCACTTCTCTCCCCATGCTTTCGTCGCGCACTGTTCTCAGTGTCTACCATGCCTGACCAGAGATCGTGCACGAGAACAAGCGCATGCTGGACCGGTCGATATGGGAGCTGGTTGGTTTGTGAGATTCCTCAATAACCAACTTATATCATTCCACTGTCATCACTGCTTTTTCATTGCTTGCTTCCCACCTGACCAGAGGTCCTGCGGGAGAACAAGCGCATGCTGGACCGGTCAATTCGGGAGCTGGACCGTGAGCGAGCGCAGCTGCAGCAGCAGGAGAAGAAGCTCGTTGCTGACATTAAGAAGTCGGCAAAGCAAGGACAGATGGTGAGTGCACTCTCTGGTGAATGCTGATGGGAATGATGTGTTTGGCATGGATGCATCTGGCGTAGAGATGTTCTTTGCAGCAGCAGGAGAAGAAGCTCGTGGCTGACATTAAGAAGTCGGCGAAGCAAGGGCAGATGGTGAGTGCACTCTCTGGTGAATGCTGATGGGAATGATGTGTTTGGCATGGATGCATCTGGCGTAGAGATGTTCTTTGCAGCAGCAGGAGAAGAAGCTCGTGGCTGACATTAAGAAGTCGGCGAAGCAAGGGCAGATGGTGAGTGCACTCTCTGGTGAATGCTGATGGGAATGATGTGTTTGGCATGGATGCATCTGGCGTAGAGATGTTCTTTGCAGCAGCAGGAGAAGAAGCTCGTGGCTGACATTAAGAAGTCGGCGAAGCAAGGGCAGATGGTGAGTCCCACTCTCTGGTCAACGATGACAGAGATGATGTGTTGGCATGGCTGACGTTAAGAGGTTAGTGAAACAAGAGGAGATGGCGCGAGCTTGCTTCGAAGGAACAGAGTAAACGCATGAAATTCACACGACACGTATATGTCATGTGCACCATGACAAGCTCCCCCGCACACCAGCAACGACAAGGCGTCCTGCGTGTGTGCACATGCAGCAATGAGCTCCATTCCACTTCATCCCTCTATTCGCCTCCATGCTTTCCTATCCTTCAGTCCGGATCCCACTTTCAGACCCAGTCCCATACCCCTCCTCCCTGCGCATGGCCTCCTGTGAAACAGGGTGCAGTGCGGGTGATGGCCAAGGATCTGATCCGCACGCGGCATCAGATCACCAAGTTCTACGGGCTCAAGTCCCAGCTGCAGGGCGTGTCCCTGCGGATACAGGTGAGACACACACACACGTGTACACACACACACACGCACACACACACACACACACGCGCGCGCGCACGCACACACACACATACGCGCGCGCGCACACACACACACACACACACGCGCGCACGCACAAACACACACGCACACACACACCACTCCTGATGCCATGCTCCAGCCTTTTCCAGCCTTTTCAAGTGACTCAGGCGTTTTGTGCTCCTTCATTGCGATTCTCTGTTTGTGATTCTCTGTTTCATCACTGCCACCATGTGCACGCTCTTTGATCAGCCTCTGTTTCATCCATCTCCCCCCTCTTGGTGCTCTTTAAGCTTCACGTCCCCTCTCCCCTTTCCCACTACTCTCTCACCCCGCTCCCACCTTTACCCTGCCTTTCCCCGCCTTCCCTTCCATTGGTCTCCCCCATTGTGCTCCCCTCAGCGCCCCCACTGCAGACCCTCAAGGCGACCCACGTCATGGACAATTTTCCAGGCACCTCAACACAACCCTCCTTCTCCTCCACTCCCCACCCCGCTCGCACCCTTTCCCCATCTCTCCCCTCTTCCCCTTCCCGTGCCCCTGCAGACCCTCAAGTCCACCCAGGCTATGGCAGACGCTATGAAGGGCGTGACCAAGGCCATGCGATCCATGCCTCACGTCCACCCTTTCCCCATCTCCCCCCTCCTTCCCTTCCCCCCCCTCGGCACCACACCACCTGCAGACGCTCAAGTCCACCCAGGCTATGGCAGACGCGATGAAGGGGGTGACCAAGGCCATGCGATCCATGAACAAGCAGCTCAACCTGCCGGCCATGCAGAAGGTGTGTCAGAAGAAAGTCTGTTTCTACCTCTCAGAACTCCTGAACCCAGACGGGGTGTGCTTGCGTAATGTGGTGAATGGGGTGATCAAAACCATGCGATCTGTGAACAAGCAGCTCAGCCTGCCGGCACTGCGAAAGGTGCATTAAAAGAGAGCCAATTCCTACTTCTGAGAGCCATTAAGCCCAAACAAGGTTTGTGAGCCCTCTGTTGGACACGCTAGCTTCTTTACCATTCATGATCCAACAGCTGTTTAGGACCTGTGTGATTTGGTCTGTTTCTATTATCAGGTTCACACATGGGGCCGCACATTGTCGTCTTTCTGATTGCTGGTGGCTGGATTCCTGGTCTTTCATGCTCCGTGCACATTCTGTGTGATTGATGCAGATTCGGGGTGATGCAGGAGTGTCGTGTGAGTGAGATGGCCCACAAATATGATGTTGGAGGCTTTGAGTGGCGCGGGATCCTTGATTCTACACATCCCTACGTTTTGTGTTGTTTCACGTGTGTGTGCGCTTGTGCATGTGAGCGTGTGCAGGTGATGCGGGAGTTTGAGATGGCGAATGAGCGCATGGAGATGACGTCAGAGATGATGGGCGACGCCATAGACGATGCCATGGAGGGCGATGAGGAGGAGGAGGAGACGGAGGAGCTGATCAATGAGGTGCTGGATGAGATCGGCATCGACATCAACCAGCAGGTGGGTGCTCCTGGGATGGTCAGCAGCTTAATTTTCTCTGGAGGACCAAAGGTGGGTGCTTTCTGGATGGCAACAATTATTTTCTAGTTGACTGGATGGGGAAAGGAGACGGAGGAGCTAATCAACGAGGTTCTGGATGAGATCGGCATCGACATTAACCAGTAGGTGGGCGGTCTCGGCAAGGTGCTGGTGCAACAGTTGTATGCTCTCTGGATGGCCAGCAGGTGGGTGTTCTAGCCAACTTAATGACGAGGAGGAGGGGAGAGGAGGAGACGGAGGAGCTGATCAACGAGGTGCTGGATGAGATCGGCATTGACATCAACCAGCAGGTGGGTGCTCTTCGCAAGCCCCACGATCTTTGCGTGCTGGATGAGGGGTGTCTCTGCCCCACGCTCTCATGCATGCTGTCCCCGCAAACCCATGGCACTGTGTCACTGAGTCTCTGATTCGCGATGGTGTGTTTCGTGGCATTGCCGTGGCCTCACACGTGCCTGTTTCAAAATCTCCTCCTTCGCATTCCTCTCTCACTGCTCTCTTTTCACACCATATCCTCCCATCCCTACTCTTCTCCCCCCGCACCCCCTCCTCGTCCCTTATCAGCTCATGAATGCGCCAACACCAGCAGCGCCCCAGGCACAGACAACAGGCAAGGTGGCACAGGGTGATGCAGTGGGCGCTGGTGGGGGCGGCGGAGGGGGAGGGGGAGGAGGGGGGATGGGTCGTGGTAGTAGCAGCGGTGGTGATGGTGGCGGTGGTGGTGGTGGTGGTGGTGGAGGGGGTGGGGGTGGCGGTATGCCCAGTGCCCCATCAGCAGCCCCGTCGGTTGGGGGTGCGTCGGATGATTCCGGGATTGACAGTGACTTGCAGGCGCGGCTAGACAACTTGAGGCGGTTGTGATGCGTGCTTGTGGCATACATTTATGTGGTTTTGCATTGGTGCCTGATTGTAGATATGACGTGCGCTAGGGTGCACGCTTGATGATTGTTACGTAGGACATTGTATTCTAGTTTGCCTTGTTGGATGCACATTTTGCCTCCCCCTGTATGTTCTTTCCACACTGGGTGCAGTGTTACTTCCAGTTTTTATTGGATTCTGCGTTTAGGCTGGTTCATGTTGGATACCTGTGATGATAATAATTATTGACAGCCCTTGAAACGGGGATATCGTCCAGCTGACGCTAACTCGGAAACCTGACAGCAACAAGGGAAGCGGCCAATCACTCCTGCTTCCCCCCCACCTATAGCCTAGCCCACTCACTCTACTGCTGAACAAACCACACAACAAATGTAACTCGGTCCACAGCAGAGGCCTCTTCGGTCAAGCACAGCACAGCTTTAGACTAGCCCACCGCATCAGCAGGCTTCCTGGCTAGCAGTTTGTGTCGCCTGAACCAATGCCACATCAAATGTATTTCGGAGCGTTGAGATGTTTAAATGTAGGTTATTGATTAGTTTAAGCGCGTGTTGATTCAGGATGAAAGTAGCTACACATTAGTCCAGTACGATCGCTGTTTGAGTTGATTAGTAGAGTCGTCTGAAGCCACCGTTCTACGATTACGTATTGCTCATCGTTGCCGTTAGCCATGCGACCAGCGACGCAGCAAGAAGAGGCGTTTCTGGAGATGGAGGAAGAGATTGAGGCAATCAAGATTATGAATCTCGCGAACGGTCCACCGCCGATAGAAGTAACCGAAGAAGTAGAGGTTAGACTTTCTTATCCTCGGCCATGATTAATATTCACACAAAATTTTGTGCTGAAATATGCATTGAAGGATATCCTGCCTTGCAAGGACGGAGAGCGGAGAAGCCACAGGGAGATACAAGGAAGTATGGCTCTTTTTTTTTTTTTTTCCTCGTCGTCGTCTTAAGCCATGCATTTGTGATTGTCGTGAGATCTTGCATTCCTTGACCAAGCAGCTTGTACTTCCAATTTAATAGTGTTCGTTTTTCCAGCATCAGTCTCGTCCAACATAATTTGACATTTTTCCTTGTCTGGCCGTTATTGCTTCTCCTTGTTTAGCGTGTTTCGTGACTTAGACCCTGAACCTCGTTTCAAGTTCCTGGTTTCCTTCTCTTCCTCTTTCTTCCTGTTCACATTTCCGTTTTTTTCTATAATATCTGAATTCAGACTTTTGATCAAGAGGAAGAGTTGAGAAAGTGGAACGAAGCTCAGCTTCAGGTATGGGGCAAGATCCTTCATTGGTGCAAGTGTGTTTTCAAATGCAGAACAACAACATAAAATCGGCTACGGATTGGCACTGGAAGCTGCCCGTTTGGTCGAACGACCAGGCGGGCAATGTCGTAGTTATAAGCTGGTATATATTATTTCTGCAATTTGTCTCCACAGGACCGCCTGTGCATGGAGGCGGAGGAGCACTTTGGTTTTGAGGAGGTGGCAGCGAGGCGGGCTCTGGAGGAGCTGTACCGACCATATGAGAAGAACCTCGACTTCATGCGCACCGTGCAGAACGGGTGAGACGGGGACAGTGCAGGGTGAGTGAGAAGAGAATAGTGCAAGACGCGTGAGGAACGAGTTCTCTTGAATAAGGAGGAAAGGTGGGGAGATAACCAAGAAATGCCACACGAGCTGAACCAGAAGACATTGGTGAGAGAAAATGGTGTCTTTTGTTTAAGGAGAATGGTTCCTTGTGAGAAATTTAGGTAGCTAAGCAAATGTTTGCTTCTGAGCATGGAACAAGATGGATAGGAAAGGTTGTACAATTTGACTCTGCACCAGCCGCCCTTTTGTCAATCACTCTTTCTCTTTGTCCTCCTCCACACCGCCATTACGGTCTCTTTCTCTTTCTCTTTCTCTTTCTCTTTCTCTTGCTCCTGCAGTGCTTTCCTGCTGGTGGACGAGCAGCGTGCAGAACAGGCGAGCTACCGGGAGCTGGTGGTGCTGCGCCATGCGACTGAGCGGCTGCTGCGAGTGGTGGACACGTCCATGCACTCCGTCATCCAGAGAGAGCGGTGAGACGAGGCAATGCGCGCATGGGTACATGCGTGCGTGCATGTGTGCGTGTGTGTGGCATGGGACTGAGCGGCTACTGCGTGTGGTGGATACGTCCATGCACTCCGTCATCCAGAGAGAGCGGTGAGACGAGACAGTGTGTGTGAGTGTGTCTGTGGGAGAGCGGGTGTTGGGTGAGAGTCTGTGTATGCTTGTCTCTGAGAGATTGTGTGCTGGGTGGGAGTATAGTGTTTTTTGTCATTGAGCGAGTGTGTGGTGAGGTGAGTGAAGTGGGACTGGTGTCAACACGTCACCATTACGATGGGAGTAGCGGATTAGACGAAGGAGGTGACAGTTTCATGCCTATTGTTGCAAGCACACTGCTGTACTCACTCCCATCCGTAAACACGGCGATGCATATCACCTGCCATTCAACCAAACCAATCATTTATATCCGCTGTCGTCCACACTCCCTTCCCTTCCGCCACCCCTCTTCCGTCCTTCCCCTTTCCTCTCTCATGTCCATACCATGCTTGCCAGGCATGCAGCGCGCAGAGAGCTAGCAGCAGCGCAGAGGGCGAGGCAGGAGGCGGAGGTGAGGCAGCAGCGGTGTGGGCGGCTGGAGAGGGAGCTTGGCGAGGAGAGGAGCCAACATGCTGCCGTTGCGGCTCTGCTGGTGGGTGCCATATTGACGCCCCCTTGGGCTGGGTGGGTTGCTCGATGCTGGTTGCTGCTCTTGATCACTACCTCGACTTTTTTCCTTTTCCTCTTCCTGTTTCATGATGCCAGCTCTTTCAGGGTTTTCTCTCTCTCTGTTCTTTCCTCTTGTGTCCTTGCTCCTTCCCTGATGTAGAGGTATCCATTGTTTCCTGTTTCGTCTGTGTTGGCGCAATCCATGCTGCTGCCTTTCCCTTCAACCCTCGTGTAATTATTCTGGGACTTTGCTGCTTTTCTCTTGGTATTCCAGGCGCCATTGTTGTTTAGGCATGGCATGCTATGATGCAGTGCGCATGATTGCACCCTTTGTTTTCCCATCACTGTGACAGGAAGCAGAGAGGGATCGCAGCACGTGTCGCATCTGCTACACCAAGGTAGGCCTTTCTCACCTGTGGTCTGCTCAACCTGGTTGCTGTATGTGCTGCACCATTCATGATATTGCACATTCTACTTCCATCTCTGCTGCATGATTAGTATATTTCTTGTCTTCCTGCACGCATGGAATGCGTTTCATCAATGCGAGAGCCATGACCTGGCACCTGGCATGTGCGTTGCTGATGACCAATAGGTTTGGGTTTTAAAGTGCATGGTCGTTGTTGATGCGAGAACCATGACCTGGCACCTGGCATGTGCGTTGCCATGTGGTTTTTGTTTCATGAGTGAATACGCTGCTGCTACCATTCACCGTTCATACCACATTATGGTAGTGACGTCTGTGACCACCTATATAACAATACCCCACCTCTTCTTTTCTTTTTTTGGCTCGTCTTGCCTGCAGGAACGAAATGTGCTGCTTTTACCATGCAGTAAGTGCCTCGCACTCACCACCACCTTTTGCATTGTACAGCCTTCTTCTTATTGCGTTTTAGTACTGCAAATATTCCGCTGTCATTTCCCCTCCTTTCCCCGTCATTTTGTCCTTCAACCCCCCTGGCGCAATGTCCCTTTCTTGCCAATCCCGTACCTCTTCAGTGCACTTCCAGTTTTGCGGTGACTGCATGGCACAGCACCGTCAACAGAATAACAGCTGTCCTCTCTGCCGCTCCCCTCTCAGCGGCCTGCTGCACTGCCAGCTGCAGCGATAATGCCTTTGCCAGCCTTGATTTTCAGATGAAGTCATCAAACCTTCTCGGCTTTACTGACCTAGTGACAGTGAACACAGGGCTATACTTCCCCGTTCATACTGCCCTCCTGGCATCCATCTAAGGTATAAAGCTATTGGCACAGCATCGCTGCAACCACTCCCCGCTTCAAGGCTGGTATTCCAGGAAGGTATTGAGGCCAGTACCCCAGGAAATTTTTCCACCTGCATGCTGCAAACTTTGATTTCTTTTCCAGCTGTAGTAATGTTGACTGTCACTGATGACCTTGATGGAGCCTTCACTGGCTAGCTACCAACCAAACCAATTTGCAGTAGTCTGGAAAAATATGGTAATGGATGATTAGAACATCCGCATCATCCTAATTTCAACTTCACCCACCCGGCTTTGACTGCGAGTCTCAGTCCCAACCAATGCCTCTCATCTGTAAGGTGTACCGTTTATACCTATACACAACGGGTGCGGCGTCTTCGATCCAAGTTCAACCCCTTCACTACTTTTCTTCCCTTCCTCTCTTCGCCTCACTCCTGCCACTCCTTTTCTCACGCACTCCCATCTCTCCCCCACACTCCCATCTCTCCCCACACTCCCCTTCCTCCGCACTCCCGCGTGGTCTGGGTGCCTCAGGGGCAGCAGGTACTGCGTAGGGCACAGCAGGCTGCGTCATCACAGCAATTATCACACGTTTTCACTGCGACTCGGTTTTAGGCATTTGGCGTGGCTGTGGGAATCGCGGTAGGGGTCATCACAGCAATTATCACCTCCTGCTCCGCATTGTATTCTAAAACGAAAGCTCGAATACAGGCCATACCATACGGTTGAAAGGCATGATTATCAGATACACAAATAACCACAGTAAAGACAGATTCACATCCAAGTACAAAATATTGAGGTATCCTCTCTCCTATGCACCCACCCACCACATGGGATACGACACAAGCACCCACAAGAAAACACTAGCAAGAAACCTAAGAATCATCAGGAAGTCACGGGTAGTAACCAGGGATAAAATTTGCGCCTAGAGGGCCGCCAATTCGAGGCACATTTGGGTCATCCCGGTTGCGGTTGCCACGCACCAGGCCAGTATAAGGACCCTGAGGGGCAAGGGAAGGGAGCAAGGAAATCCCACAGAATGTGCACACACATTGAGGTGGTCTACCTCTATCCTGCGCTGGAATGGGCATCTGGCATGCGAGGAGCATTCATGTGAGATTGATAAACCAGATCAGATGGCATGTGAGAGTGACGGGAAGCAAGGGAAGGGATGCACGTGACGCAGTGCCGTGATGAACCGTGGGAGTCCCCGTGGTCATTGCGCAGCGGGGGGAAAGAAGAAAGCGGGGAGTCAGAACGGTGCCAGAGGAAAGAGTTCCGTTGGTGGCGGCGGCGGCGGTGGTGGGAGGGGTCGGGGGCTTGGAGGGTCGGTGTGCGGGGGAGGTAGCGAAGACAGCACGGATGAAAGAGAATTATTTGATCCGCCGGATGTGCTTGCAACGAAAGTTAAGGAGCTCGCGCGGCTGCTCAAGACGAGTAGATACGCCATGGTGGGTCGGTGATGTGTTTTTGAAGTGAGGGACGGAAGGAAGGACTGGCTTGTGGAAGCGTGACTGGTGGCTGGATTGCAGATTTGTGGGTGGCCGTGAATGGGTGCGGAGAGTGGGTGGATTGTGTGACATAGCTTGTGGGTTCGGTGGCGCGCGTGTGTACTCGAGGGAGGGACAGCGGTGGGGCAGGGCGTGCGACGTTTTTTATGCAAGGCGAAACCGGTTTGACTAAATCGTTGTGCCGCTTTTCCTCTTCCTCCTCGCCCATTAAACGCACGAAGGTCACTCCTTATTTGTCGCTAACACGCCGTCGTCACGTGCTTCGATTCCGTTCCCCATTGAAACGCCCCTTTCTGCGCGTCCTCCGTTTGTTTTCTCCCTTTTCGCCCCTCTCCGCTGTATTTCTCAACGCTTGGACCCTCTTCTCCCCGTGCAGGTGTACACCGGCGCGGGTATCTCCACGTCAGCAGGCATTCCGGATTATCGGGGGCCGAACGGCGTGTGGACGCTGCGCTCTAAGGGCATTCAAGTCAAAGAGCCGAACTTTCTTCAGGTAAGCCGTCGCCGTCACCGTCAATTTAGCTTTCGACCTTGCTCTGACTCATTCGCCCACCCACACGTACACGTGCATCTCACGCGCACGTTCTTACGCGCGAGTTCCCTCGCGCTACTCCTTGCATTCGTCCTGCGGTCTCCTCCCCCCACGTTTTTCCCATCTCGTTTAGCCACAGTCACGACTCACACTCCGCAAATCTCCGCCCGCCGTTTTCCTTCCGCGCGTTTCGCCCGTCGTCGGGTATCGCTTAAGCTGACGGATTTCGATATCCCGGCGATGGGTCACCGTCGAAGCAGGCGCGGTGCGACACGTGTCGTCGCAGAACATCGACGCTCTGCACGGGAGGGGGAGGGAGGCACTTAAATTTGTCGGCACGGGCATACATTTCACGAGACCTCTCTCGCGTGCACGTGTGTTGGCTCACACGAGAGAACTCCCTTATTCGCCCAACGCTTCCCCCATCCTCCCCCCTCTCCTCCCTCCCTCTCTCTTCCCTCTGCGCCTCCCTCTCCACCACCCCCCACCGCCCCCTTCCCCGCCCTCCTACCGATTTTCCTATACCCTCTTGCGCCTGGTGTTTTCCGCTCCGCGAGCAGGTGTCGCCGACGCTGAGCCACTTTGCGTTCACGGTGATGGTGCAGGCGGGCGTCGTGCGACACGTGGTGTCGCAGAACATCGACGGGCTGCACCGGCGATCGGGGCTGCGGTCGCAGGAAATCAGCGAGCTGCACGGCAACTTTTGTCGCGAGGTGTGCGCGCGCTGCGGCGCGGAGTTTTTCCGCGGGTACTCGGTGTGGAAGGGGCTCACGACGGCGCGCGGGTCGACGCAGGAGGACGCGAATCGCGCGGCGAAGATCCTGCTGGAGCGCGCAACGGGGGTGGTGGCGGACGGGGGGAGGGGAGAGGGGGAGAAAGGGGAAAAGGGAGAGAAAAGAGAAGGGAGAGGGAACTGCGCGGAAGGAGAAGGCACGGGGGGTTGGAGGCAGTGGGGGGAAGGCTGGAGGAAGTGGTAGTGCTGCGCTGCAGAAACGGAAAAGGAGTGAAGACGCGGCGAAGCGGAAGGCGAAGAGAGCGCGAAGCGCAAGAGCAAGAAGATTTGTTGATAGTGAGTCGGAGAGTAGCGAGGAGGAAGAGGAAGAGGAGGAGGTGGAGGAGGAGGAACAAGAGTCAGAGGAAGACGAAGAAGACGACGAGGAAGAAGATGAGGATGAGGAGGACGATGAGGAGGAGGAGGAGTTGCAGTTCGACCATCGGACGGGGAGGATGTGTGAAGTGGACGGGTGTGGAGGGGAGCTAGAGGATTGCGTCGTGCTGTTCGGAGAGTGCCTTCCCAACGAGGTACTGCTTCCTCCATTCGCCTTTCCATCCCTCAATTCGCTTTCTCCCCTTGCCCCATCTTTTCCCTTCCCCCTCCCCACACAACTCTCGCCCCTCATGCCCCGCCCCCCCCGTCCTTCCCGACTCTCCCAACCCCCCCGCTCCCTCCCTTCCTCCCTTTTTTTTTGTCAAATGTGTCATTCGCGTATCACGATGCCTGGCTCGTCCCTCATCGTCCGCCGTTTGGCATGGCTGCATTTATCTGGTTCTGATGTCTCCCTCCATCCCGACTCGCTTCTCCCCATTCGCATCTGCATATCCCCCATTCCAAACTTTCCCCTCTCTCCACCCCCCCTCCCCTTCCTCTCTTCCCCCCCGCACATCCCCTCTTCCCTCCCTCTCCTCCGCCCGCCCGCGATCCCCCTCCCCTCCCTACTCCCCGTCCCCAACCGTCCCCTTCTTCCCCCGGGGCTCCGCTTCCAGCCGTTGAAGTCCGCGAAGCGCCACAGCGACCGCGCGGACGTGGCGCTGGTGATGGGGTCGAGTCTGCGCGTGGGCCCCGCGTGCAACTTCCCCGCCAGCGTGCCGCGCCACGGCGGCAGGCTCGTGATTATCAACCTGCAACCCACCCCCATAGACGCGCGCGCGGAGCTGGTGCGTGCGCGCGGGAGTTTGCGCGGAGAGGGGGGGGAAGTGGGGGGAAATGTGGGAGAGGAAGTGCGGGGAGGTGGACAGGCTGGTGTGATGCGAGGGGTGAAAGCGGGTTGGAGTGGGGATGGTTTGGTGTGTGGTGGTGAAGGGATTGAGACGGCAATATCCATGCCACGTAGTCACTGTTTCGGGCAGATTACAAGTGGATAGCGGATTAATATCAGACGTCGATCACAGTTCATCGGACGGAATTCAGCTTAACATCGTGGTGAAGGGGCAGCAATAAAGCAGTGATACAGTAACCTAGTCAACAATCCGAGTCGCTAACGCGACGCCGCCCTCCCGTGACGCCTTCAAGTAATGGTTAATTTCAATGGACCAGCCCGTTGCAGACGATGAATTGTTAAGGGCAAACATCGACTTCGCACTACATATCATATGGTCGAAAGCCGGAAATTCAACCATGTAATTATCGTCGTCATAATGAAGAAGGCGTACATAGTAAAGGTATCATGAAAAACTATTCTCGACTGCCCATAAATTCGGCGCTGATTGTCAACCGAGCCGCGGCCCTTGTCGACCAGAATCGGCGCTTCGCCTGAGGCTTGATGGGGGAGGAGGAGCATCTGGGGGGCAAAAATTCGAGAATAAATTGGGGCTGGAAATCCACTCCAAGCGTCGTTTCGAGGTTCAGTCCCCCACCCACCCTTCTCGATTTCATTATGGCCCCGATGAAGATTCTCGCTCTTCTGGTTGCGATTTCCGCACTTCTGGTCGCCCTGGTTGCGCCCTCCGCTAATGCGGAGTCCAGCGCCGTCGCCAGTGCCGAGACTTCAGGTGGGTACTGTCATTCCGCTGCTTCTCAGTATCTGACACTCGCCGAACAGTGTTTGTTTATGTTTTGTTTTTTTCTTACGAACGTGAGTAAATTCTGACGCATATTTTCCGTCGCGTTTTACTCTTGCAGCAACTCTCGCCGCCAGGCGTTTCTTGGGCGACGACCACCACCACGACCACGACGATGACAACGATGACGATCACCACGACGACCATCACGACGACGACGACGACGACGATCACCACGAGAAGAAGAAGCCGTCTCCGCCGAAGCCGAAGCTGACGTGCATTGAGAAGTACAAGATCAAATACGCCAAGTGCGAGGACAAGGAGGAGGCGTGTGTCGCGAAGGCGGCGAATGCGGACGAGAAGGAGGTTTGCGAGGCGCAGTCGACGGTGTGCGAGCGCAAGGCGTACAAGTCGTACAAGAACTGCAAGTACGTCAAGTGGGGCTGCAAGGACTGGTGCCTGTACCGCCGCCGCCAGTGCCTCAAGTGGTACAAGGCCCCGATGTGCGAGGAGAAGTACGAGGAGTGCGTGGAGAAGTGCACGCCCAAGCCCAAGCCGTCGCCGCCCAAGGAGGAGAAGCCTAAGAAGGAACACCACGACGACGACCACCACGACACCACCATGACGATCATCACGACGACGATCACCACGACCACCACGACGATTAGGTGGCGAGTCATTTTCGAACGATTCCTGTCGATTGCGCGCCCAACGGACTCCCGTTGTACGGTAATGCTTAACTCACGGCGAGTTTCCCGGAGGGTGCGACGAGCCACGACGAGCGACCTCACAAAAAGGATTTGCGGGAGCCTCTTGATGACTTTCACAAGGGGTTAAGTTGCGACTTCTGAGGGAGTGTAACCTCTTGTTATGCTGCTTCGTGAGTTCTGCTGCTACCACATTCTCCTCTTGTGTGGGTTGCGTTTTTTTCGCCTGTGCAATCGCGGGGATGCGTTTGGCCAGCTTAGCCTGGATTTTTATTGGAAAGGGTGGTAGAGGGGATAGGGGGGTCGATTGGACTGTATGTGTGTGGGAGTGGGTAATAATATGTAGTTCTCTGTGTTTACATGATTATGACAACCCAACTAAGGTGCGTGACGATGCTTTTCCACCCTACTCAACACAAGAGGTGTTGCAGTATGCATACTCGAGTAAGAGGGCTCACTGAGCGGTTAACAGTTGAGCTATAAAACACCAAGAATGTGGTTCAATAAATGCACTTCTTACATTTGCAATAGGTAAATCCCACGCCAGGTTGCAGGGCCTGGTTTTAGGAAATCCAAAAGCAAGGCGGCATGATACATTGTTTGGCTGCTACTGACTCATGCTAACGTGCAAATGTCTTTAGTGTGAGAATAGCAGTTCCCAAATCTCTTCTCCCACGTTTCATGCATCGCTGTTATGTTAGGTTCTCAGTGCACCTGTATGCCCAACGGCTCAGGAACCAGATGCGGGGCCCCTCAAAGGAAGGAACGAAGTGGATTGCCCAGCGAAGGCGAGCAACAGGCACCACGCGGCGAGGCCACCACGGTGCTCGGGAGGAGGCGCCAGCCAGCCTCATGCACCCCGGCGAGGCCACCCTCTGAATTTGTCCATCTGCTGCTCAAGTAGGCGCTGCACAATGGCCGCTTCAACCGGCACCCTGAGAGTGGTTGCGTGCTCCTCCTCTGCATCAAGCAGCAGCAGCAGCAGACGACCGTGCAGGGTTTTGCGGTTGCCACCCACTGTGCAGCCGTGTGGCCGTGGAGCACTGCAGCGGCCCTTGCATAGTGAGGCTTGGTGCTGCGTGCTCCTCCTCTGCGTCATGCAGCAGCAGCAGCAGCAGACGACCGTGCGGGGTTTCGCGGTTGTCGCCCTTATACTCCACGTAGGAGAACGCCGTGAGGCCGTGGAGCACTGCAGCGGCCCTTGCATAGTGAGGCTTGATGCCGCGTGCTCCTCCTCTGCGTCATGCAGCAGCAGCAGACGACCGTGCGGGGTTTCGCAGTTGTCGCCCTCATACTCGACGTAGGAGAATGCCGTGAGGCCGTAGAGCATTGCAGCGGCCCTTGCAGCGGCCCTTGCATAGTGAGGCTTGATGCTGCGTGCTCCTCCTCTGCGTCATGCAGAAGCAGCAGCAGACGACCGTGCAGGGTTTCGCGGTTGTCGCCCTCATACTCGACGTAGGAGAACGCCGTGAGGCCGTAGAGCACTGCAGCGGCCCTTGCAGCGGCCCTTGCATAGTGAGGCATGATGTTGCGTGCTCCACCTCTGCGTCATGCAGCAGCAACAGCAGGCGATCGTGCGGGGTTTCGCGGTTGTCGCCCTCATGCTCGACGTAGGAGAACGCCGTGAGGCCGTAGAGCACTTCAGCGGCCCTTGTAGCGGCCCTTGCATAGTGAGGCTTGATGCTGCGTGCTCCTCCTCTGCGTCATGCAGCAGCAGCAGCAGACGACCGTGCGGGGTTTCGCGATTGTCGCCCTTATACTCCACGTAGGAGAATGCTGTGAGGCCGTGGAGCACTGCAGCGGCCCTTGCATAGTGAGGCATGATGCTGCGTGCTCCTCCTCTTCGTCATGCAGCAGCAGTAGTAGTCGCAGCACCAGCAGCAGCAGCAGCAGCAGCAGCAGCAGCAGCAGCAGAAGCAGCAGCAGCAGCAGCAACAGTAGTAGCAGAAGCGGCAGCAGACGACCGTGCGGGATTTCACGGTTGTCGCCCTTATACTCCACGTAGGAGAACGTCGTGAGGCCATAGAGCACTGCAGCGGCTGCGTCATGCAGCAGCAGCAGCAGCAGACGACCGTGCGGGGTTTCGCGGTTGTCGCCCTCATACTCGACGTAGGAGAACGCCGTGAGGCCGTAGAGCATTGCAGCGGCCCTTGCAGCGGCCCTTGCATAGTGAGGCTTGATGCTGCGTGCTCCTCCTCTGCGTCATGCAGCAGCAGTAGTAGCAGCAGCAGCAGCAGCAGCAGCAGCAGCAGCAGCAGCAGCAGCAGCAACAACAACAGCAGTAGCAGAAGCAGCAGCAGACGACCGTGCGGGGTTTCGCGTTTGTCGCCCTTATACGCCACGTAGGAGAACGTCGTGAGGCCGTAGAGCACTGCAGCGGCTGCATCATGCAGCAGCAGCAGCGGACGACCGTGCGGGGTTTCGCGGTTGTCGCCCTCATACTCGACGTAGGAGAATGTTGTGAGGCCGTAGAGCATTGCAGCGGCCCTTGCATAGTGAGGCTTGATGCTGCGTGCTCCTCCTCTGCGTCATGCAGAAGCAGCAGAAGACGACCGTGCGGGGTTTCGCACTTGTCGCCCTCATATTCGACGTAGGAGAACGCCGTGAGGCTATAGAGCATTGCAACGGCCCTTGCAGCGGCCCTTGCATAGTGAGGCTTGATGTTGCGTGCTCCACCTCTGCGTCATGCAGCAGCAGCTGCTGGCGACCGTGCGGGGTTTCGCGGTTGTCGCCCTCATACTCGACGTAGGAGAACGCCGTGAGGCCGTAGAGCACTGCAGCGGCCCTTGCAGCGGCCCTTGCATAGTGAGGCTTGATGTTACGTGCTCCTCATCTGCGTCATGCAGAAGCAGCTGCAGGCAACCGTGCGGGGTTTCGCGGTTGTCGCCCTCATACTCGATGGAGGAGAACGCCGTGGGGCCGTTGAGCACTGCAGCGGCCCTTGCATAGTGAGGCTTGATGCTGCGTGCTCCTCCTCTGCGTCATGCAGCAGCAGCAGCAGACGACCGTGCGGGGTTTCGCGGTTGTCGCCCTTATACTCCATGTAGGAGAACGCCGTGAGGCCGTGGAGCACTGCAGCGGCCCTTGCATTGAGGCTTGATGCTGCCGAAATCAGTAGGGCTCGATGGTAGAGCCACTGCTGTGTGGGTCTGGGTTTAGGGAGGAGCAGGGGTTGCGCATGGAAGACTTGTAAGCATGTGTTGTGGTGTGGGTTTAGGTTGCACGATGCGAGTGTTGACCATTTCAGAAACGGCTTGTGTCGGATTCAGACGTTGTCCGCTAGCTCATGGACTCTATGTGCGTTAGTGCTGCACAGATGCACTCACTGCTGCTGCCTCACATTCACTGCTGCTGCTTCATACTTACTGCTGCCGCTTCCTACTCACTGCTGCCGCTTCCTACTCACTGTTGTCGCTTTGCCCACACCCGCTGCTATGCACTCACTGCTTCAAACGTACTGCTGTTGCCTCACACTCACTGCTGCCGCTTCACACTCACTGCTGCCGCTTCCCACTCACTACTGCCGCTTCCTACTCACTGCTGTCGCTTTGCCCACACCCGCTGCTATGCACTCACTGCTTCAAACTGATTGCTGCTGCTTCACACTCACTGCTGCCACTTCACACTCAATGCTGCCACTTCCCACTCACTGCTGCCGCTTCCTACTCACTGCTGTCGCTTTGCCCACACCCGCTGCTATGCACTCACTGCTGCCGCTCTCCACTCACTGATGCCGCTTTGCACTCATTGCTGATGCTTCCCACTCACTGCAGCCGCTTTGCACACACTGCTGCTGCTCTGCACTTATCCCTGCCGCTTGCACTCACTACTGCCATGTTGCTCTCAGTGCTGCCATGTTGCACTCACTGCTGCCGCTTTGCACTCACTGCTGCCTCTCTGCACTCACTGCTGCCGCTCTGCACTCACTGCTGTTTCGATCTACTTGTCCTTCCTTGCTTCCTCTTGTTTCCCTTGTCATATACCACACTCTTTAGCAATGCCTTAGCTTCCTCGCTTGTTCCTGAGACACTTTCAATACGCCACCGCCAAACCGTAGGTTCGTCTTCCGCCGTCGTAGTATGTTTTCTGGAACCATTCCAACACTTTCTCCTCCCTATCCTCTTTCAATCATGACCCTCATCATCTTTGTCCTCCCGTCTTCATTCTTAAAACGAGCCCCCCCGCTCCTCAACCCCCCTTTTTCTCCTCCTTCTCCTTTTCCTAAACAAGTTGTGTCAATGCTGTTATAGTCACAATAGGCTTCAATGTGCCTAAAACGAAAGATAGAGTGCACAGTTGAATTTCTGCACAGCGGCTTTAAACGTTCATAGCGTTCTGGTCACAGCTTCGAATGACCTGATTCAAAATTGAATCTGGAGCGTCTTAATGTCGCCTACAATAGGCAATTTCGATCGCACGATTTCACCAAGTATTGACGACACAGCGTCGGTTTCAACGAACGGCACTATGGCAGCCACTATAGTCTTAGAACACAAGATAGGAAGAGTTACGAGTTGGGAATGACTCCCAGCTCCTACAAACCCCAAGAGCCGAGGTACAGTGATGTGGAACAGTGCCACACTGTCCCCAACCAAGAAGGGTCTCGAAACTACCCTCCACAAGGGTCTACACCAACAGAAAAGTTACACTACACATTGTAATGTAACTATCTTCAACATCTTGAAGTGTGCCCAAGGCTTGACACCAAGGCTCGGGTTCTTCATCACAAACTCATCCTTGAGTTCTTGATGGGTCTGCTTCACACACCTGCGACACGCCGAACGTTCGACACACTACAAAATAGAAACCGCGCGAGACACACAAACGACGAAATAGAAACCGCGCGGGACACACAAACGACCGCGTGACATGCGACTAGCGATGACTCGCTATTGACTTGACACACACACACATTCGACATCATGACTCATCATTCACACTATTATAAGCATGAAATATATATTATCTCATGCCTTCATACCATTCCATGCACACACGCATGCACGCACACGGACAACAAGCCGAGTGCAAACCGTAGGGTTGCACCAACAAATGCCACCTTCCATATAACTAGTCACACATGATTGATCTCCTAACATCACCTCCTGGTCTTATCAAGTACCTCTATATGGGACTTGGGAATGCCATGCGCGTCTACTAGCAGGCGAGCCAGCTGTTGTATCACCTCCTGGTCTTATCGAGTACCTCTATATGGGACTTGAGAATGCCATGCACGTCTACAAGCAACCGAGCCAACTCGTCCAGAACCCCTCCCTGAATCAGCACCTCGTGTTGCCCCTTCTTTCCTGCTTCACGTGCGTGCGTGCATGGATGGGTGCATGGATGGAAAGGGTGGGGAGAGAAAGAAAGAGAGAGCATGGGAGAGAAGGGTTGGAAGACGAAAGGGTAGAAGATGAACATCCAACGCCCCTCCTTGAATCAGCACCTCGTGCTGACCCTTCTTGCCTGCCTCATGTTTATGGATGCATGGATACAAGGGGTGCACGAGTGCATCGATGGAAAATGTCAAGCTATATCCGTGCTAGCCTATTCTTTCCGTTTTAGCCCGTTTTAGTTCGTTACCTCCTTAGCGCGCCCTCCCCTCCCAGCCGCCCGTGCAAGGGCTTCGCGCCCCATGCCAGAGCCACGCGCACCCCGCTAGAGCAGCACGCGCCCCCTGCCAAAGCCCCGCACGCCCTGCCAGAGCAGCGCATGCCCCGCCAGCGCAGCGCACGCCCCGCCAGACCAGCGCACACGCCCCTCCAGAGCAGCGCGCACGCCCCTCCACAGCAGCGCGCGCCCCTTCACAGCAGCAACCCGCCACTGCGCCAGCCCGCCAGAGCCGTCTACAGCCCTTCCAAGACGCCCACAACCCTTCCAAAACCGCCCACAGTCCTTCCCAGCTACCTACAGCTCTTCACAGTTGCCTACAACCCTTCCCAACCGCCCACAGCCCTTCCAAGGCGCCATAGCGCACCACAACCGCCACTTCGACAGCACGCACCCGCACCTTACCTACCTACGCCCCGCCCTTGCAATCGCCAGGCGTGCCCATTGTCTCCAACACGCCTACTACCATAGGCATCTCTAGCGGCGGCTGGCAACCGCAGTTACTTCTACTGTCACGGATTAGGGTTAGTATCCCGACGTAACTGGCGTTCCTAGCCCTGTTCGCTCCCCACTCCAGTCACTCCTAGCTCCAACCGTACCTAGCTCTAGCCGCCTCTAACTCCAGCCACTCGTGCCCCAACCGTTCTAGCTCCAGCCGTTTCTAGCTCCATAATTTTTTAGCTCTAGCCTGCCGTTGCTTGTCACTCCGTGCTCAGGCCGTTCTTAGCTCCAGCTGTTCCTCCCTCCAGCAGTTCCTAGCTCCAGCCACTCCTTCTCCAGTAGTTCATCGCGCAGAATGTTCCTAGCGTTCCTCCTCTTTACCCAACTAGCCCTTTACTATGGCGTCCGCTAGGGTTCTACAGTGGCAGGGAAAGCAGCAGCTGCAGCAGTTTCAGCAGTGGGGACCTCAGCAGCCGTGGCGCTCTCAGCAGTAGTGGCGCCCTTAGCAGCAGTGGGGGGCCTGGTGTCACAATAGATTTATATCTATTTAGTATAATCTGCCTGTAGTGTAGCTGTTGTGTAATTCCCTTGTATGGTGGTGCACCTCTTTCATATTTGTTAGGTTGCTATATGTACTCGTGTGCTATAGTGAATCTCAACACATTCTCGATTCTCCCTTGGCACAACTCCCTCGACACCTGCTTGGCCTAGGCTTCTAAGCCTAGGCCCTTAATTAAACCCCGTTCCCAGCTCAGTTCGTCTCGTAACATGGTATCGAGCGGTTCCTTTCCTAAGGACCGAATTTTTATGGGCCCACCGCTAGCCTCTCGCTATGGCGTACCCCGTTGCGCGGCCCGTAGCGCGCCTCGTGAGCGCTTCCTTGCCGCAGCCCGTCGCCCACGCGCTACCCGCTGCTTCTGCCCGTCGCCGACGCGCTACCCGCAACTGCATCCCGCCGCCCGAGCGATATCCGCTGCTGCAGCCCGTCGCCCATCCCGTCGCACTGCCGCCCGTCGCCAGATCCCCGCCACTCGTACGCTCTCCGCTGCTCGTCGCCAGGTCCCCGCCCGCCCTCCCGTCGACTTCGCAACTGCTGTGAAGGGAGTGGCGGGAGTCGCGAGAGTGGTGGGAGTGGCGGGAGAAGCTGCTGCTACGCCCTTGCACGCGCCAGATTGTCCTCCACCCGCACCCCGCACCCTGCCCGCCGCCCGTGCGCCACCCGCACCACGCACCCCGCCCATCTCCCGTACGCCACTCGCATCTGCACGACCCGTCCCTGCCCCGCCTGCATCTACCGCGTCAGCAACTGCCGTTTCGTCCCGTACCCGCACTGTCCCTGCCCCTCCCCGTCCCTCCCTCGTCGCGCCTTCCCCCTCTACCGCGCCTGCCTATGCCGTGTTGGGCGGTGGTGGGTGTGGAGTGCAATGGGGGCGGCGGCGGCGGGAATGGCAGGAGTTGCGGGAGTGGCGGGGTTGGCGGCTCATGTGGGGGGGTGGGGGAGGCGTGGGGGAAAGGGGTGGTGGGCAGCTGTCAGCAGTGAACGCCAGCGCAAGCGCCAGAACTGCCGCCAACGCCTACCGCCCGTCCGTCTTCCCTTCCCCCCCTCCCCGTCGCCTTCACTACCGCGACTGCAGCTGTTGGGGGGGGAGTGACATGGAGGGGGTGATCAAACTGCACCAATTGTCGCCACGCCTCCTCCTATCTCTCTCTGCCGCTGTTGCTGCTGTGGGGGGGAGGTTCAGGGGGTGTGGGTGGATGTTCCAGCTGCAGCAACGGCCACCACACCTCCTCCTGTCATCCCCCCGCCCCGTGTCTCCCGTGCTGCTACCCCGTCGTTCCTGTGCCCCACCCGTGCTGTCCGTACCCAGTCGTGCCCCACCCGTTCCACCCGTTCTGCCCGTGTCCTGCCCGTGTTCTGCCCGTGATTCTGCCCGTACTGCTGCCCGTGATTGTGCCCGTGATTATACCCATGTGTTGCCCGTATTTTGCCCGTGTTCTGCCCGTGATCCTGACCGTGATTCTGCCCGTGATTCTGCCTGTGATCCTGCCCGTGTTGCTGCCCGTTCCCGTGCCATACTGACCGTGCACCTCCTGTGCTCCCGTGATCCTGTGCTACTCATGCTTCTTGTGCTTCTCGTGCTGCCCCGTGGTCCTGTGCTGTCCCGTATTGCCCGTCCTTCCCCGTGCTTGCCCCGTGCCCGTGCCCGTGCTGTCTGCCCGTGTTCCCTGTGCTTCTGCTCGTGCTCTACCCGTGCTGTTTGTTCCCGTGCGTGCCCCACCTGTACCACCCATGCTGTCAGTGCCCGTGCTGCCCCGTTCTGCTCGTGCTACCTCGTGCTCCTGTTCTGCCCCCGTGTTCCCGTGCTGCCCCCGTGTTCCCATGCTGCCCCCGTGCTGCCCCGTTCAGCCCTTGCGCTGCCTCGTTCTGCCTGTGCTGCCCCGTTGTCCCCGTGTTGCCCTGTTCTGCCCGTGTTGCCCCGTTCAGCCCGTGTCCTGCCCCGTTCGGGCCGTGTCCTGCCCCGTTCTGCTCGTGTTGCCTCGTTCAGCCCGTGTCCTGCCCCGTTCTGCCCGTGTTGGCCTGTTCTGCCCGTGCTGCCCCGTTCTGCCCGTTTGTGTCCTACCCGTGCTGTCCGTACCCGTTGGTGCCCCACCCGTGCTGTCAGTTCTCGCTCGTGCCCCACCCGGTCTGTGCTGCCCGGTCTCGTGCTGCCTGTCACCCCCGTGCGGCCCGTCCCGTACAGCACCTAGTTGCTACCCGAACCCGCTACCCGTACCCGTGCTCCTCGCATACCGTACACCAGCTGCGGGGCGTTCAACCGCAGCCGGGCACCTGTTCCACCGCGGTGGTTCAGATGCAGCTTGGTGGTTGCTGCTTGTCGGCTTCAGAGGGGCCCCTTGCTGGTGTTCCCACGCCCTGTAATGGGGTTTTACAGGTGTACCCCTTCAAGGGGGGCTCTGCACATGGTTATGCACTTCAGGCAGATAGGGGGTGTGTCACAATAGATTTATATATATTTAGTATAATCTGCCTGTAGTGTAGCTGTTGTGTAATTCCCTTGTATGGTGGTGCACCTCTTTCATCTTTGTTAGGTTGCTATATGTACTCGTGTGCTATAGTGAACCTCAACACATTCTCGATTCTCCCTTGGCACAACTCCCTTGACACCCGCTTGGCCTAGGCTTCTAAGCCTAGGCCCTTAATTAAACCCCGTTCCCAGCTCAGTTCGTCTCGTAACACCTGGTGGTCCGGGGAGCGTCTGCCCAGACGGCTGGAGGCGTAGTCGTGGTGGCCGCGACGTTGGACCTTGCTAGTACCGGATCTTGACTGGTCCTCGTGCTGGCACTATTTGCTGGCGTCCTGAGCTGCTACAACCGCCTCGACGAACTTTACCGTGAGCGTTTTGGGCCTGACTCGGCACCCCCACTCTGGCCCGGTCTGTCTCGTAGTGGTTACTGTGTGTTTGACATGTCTATGAATGATGTTTATTCTGTCCCGTATGGATCTCTTGCCTTTTGTGTACCCAGTCTAAGATGTTTGCCTATTGCTAGTGTAGGTTTCTGTATAGTTACCAGTCTAGCTGTGACGACTACTGACGTGTCACTCTCCTTCATGCTGGACTCTGGCGCGTCTCAGTGCTTCTTCCGCGACCACACCACTGTCACGCCTCTTGCTGCTCCAGTCCCAGATGCGCTAACTAATCCTACTTAAGGACCAGCTGTCGGTTCTACCACCCCCCCGTGCCCGACTGTCCCCTCTGGTTCCCTCACTTGTCTCCACATCCCCTCGTTCTCTCAGAACTTAGTGGGTATAGGATATCTTAAGGACCGTGGAATCTGTATGGACACTTCCACCAGGGCAGTTTTTGCCACGTTCACCAGAGAGCCCCACTCAGGCCACTTCGTCTGGTCAAGTTACTATGCCCGCTCAGGTAGCTGCCTCAGGCCAGGTTCCTCCGTCGTGCTCCTGTCGCACCCGGGCCCTCGTTCTCGTCGGGAGACTCACTCTCCAACGGCAGGTGGAGCAAGGTCCAGAGGCACTGAGCAGCAGCTTCACGAACCACACCCTGCTGCCCCTCGTCAAGCTGTGGATCGCGCGCAAACACAGGTCGGCGCTGCAGCCCGGCATGCAGCTGGTCAAGCACCGTCGCGAGGAGCGAGAGGCACTCACCAATGTCCGATAGGCGCCGCTCCCACCGGACAATGTCAGCCACTATCGGGGTGTCAGCAGCCCACCGCCCCAGTAAAAACCCAGGCTGAGCCGGGGCCGTCCAAGTATCCCGCTCAAGCCACCACTCCTCTGGTGGGTCAGGAGCATCACCCGGAAGGCCAGGAGAAGGAGAGCGGCGACGGAACCGAGGCACCTGTGGCAACACCGGTGGAAGGAGAGGACGCTGCCGATGCGGTCCCTGGTCCACAGCACCGCCCAGGGGGGCGGCCTGGACGGAAGGAACGACGGGAGGGTCCGAGCACGGGGCAGACAGGGACGGCTGAAGAGGAGGCACCAGCGGTGCTTGCACGGCAGGAGCAGGCGGAGGTGGAGGAAGCGCTTCCGCCTCGGGGGCCGGCGGCGCCGGAGGAACAGCGGAGGCTGGAACGGATGACGCCGGGGGCGGCGGTGGCGCCAGAAGGGACGCCCAAGTCGGCGGATTTTGAGGCGGAGGTACCGAACTTGGACCCGAAGAAACCGACGGCGCCATCGACGGGGAGGGCAACTGGGGCGCCGATGCAGACAAGGGCTGCCGCTGCGAGGAAGATGCCTGCGTCGACGACGGATGGGATGGCGGAGGAGGAGGGGGAGGCTGCGCCGGAAGGTGCGATGGATGCGGATGCGGCGCCGGGTTCGCGGGAGGCGGCGGGGCAACCATCAGAGAACGCGCGGACCGCGGTGCAAGCGACGGGGACGGCCGGGGAGGATGCCGACGGCGGAACGACTGGCCCCGGGCCCGTAGATGAGGATGCTTCCGCCCACGAGGAGACCGATAAATCGGCTCACGAGGCGCGGTCAAAACAGCAGGCGCCTGGGAAGAACCGCCACCGGCCACGGCAGCAACAACATCAGCGGCGGCTCGGAGCAGGGCTGGCACCTGCACGACCTGGGCCGTTGGTGGGGTGGGCGGAGCAGGAAGACGATCCCCGGGCGGCGGACGCCGAGGTGCAGGCTGGTGCCGACCCGTCATCACCACACCGCCGCGAAATTGCGGCGGAAGCACCGAACGAGAGGGAAAGCGCCGCAGAAGAAGAGGAGGACAGAAGGGCCGCGGCGAGACACAGCCGCCACCAAGGGGAAACGAGACGGCAGTAGGCCCTGCGGGAGCAGGCGGACCGGCGCGCAGCAGGACGACCGCCACAAAACGCGGCGCCCGAAGCGGCAGCGAGAGGAGCAGGAGGCAGGGGACGAGGACGAGGAGGGGGCCTGGGGAACCTGGTGCGCGCGGTGGCAAGGGAAAAAGCCAGATTCGGAAACTGGCGGGAGAGACACGGCAGGCCGGAACGAACTGGCAATCCAATGACTGAAGGGGAGGAGGGGAGCGATGAGGAATATATCGAATCAGAGGAGGGAGACTCTGAGGATATCTCCCTAGAGGCAGAAGAGGGGGTCCCCAACACCGGCGCAAATCAGGGACAGAGGAGAGCGCGAACAGCCGAACCAGCACACGTGGCCGAGTCTAGCGCCCAGGCTGGCACGAGGACAGCCCGTAAGGAACGCTCTGCGCCAGATATCGCCGACGACGAGGCCACATGGCAGAGAGTGAAGCAGTGGGACCTGACACCCCTGCGCAACAGCACCCAACCCTTCCTTGTGCGGAAGCTTCCTCCCAACATTCTGGGAATCTTCAGCTACTGCCTCACAATCCCCCTGCTGCGACTCTCCAAGAACCCAACCTGCTTGGGAGCCTGGCGAATGTTACTATTTTTGCCGCGACTCACACTCAGAGCCAGCATTGGGAAAGTACCTGGAAACAAGTGGGCCGAGGTGGCGACAAGGCTGGACCAGTTCAAGTTGGAAGAATGGGACCTGCTGTACTCCCAAGCGTGCACCATACCCCAGAACCCCCAACCGAGCCGTCACCAACCAGACCCCGAAGGACTCTGTGCGAGGGCCGAGGGCCTGGTCCGCAAGGTGAATTTGGCAAAAGCAGTAGCAGCGTTACAAACGTCGCCACTCACGGAACCCTCGCAGGCAACCCTGGAGGCGCTACAGGAGAAACACCCAGAGGCGGGCAACGAAATCCCGAATTGGGTAACAGGATTCGCCTCGAGCAACCTATCGATCTCGCCGAAAGCTCTTCGCGAGGTTCTAGCAAAGTGCCCCAACGGGATTGGAGCTGGTCCCTCAGGCACTTGCTTCGAGCACCTACGAGACACGGCTCTCACTAACAGCGAAGTATTCGCCTACCTGCACGGCACCGTCAACCACGTCCTAGGAAATCACCTGCCAGCGGATCTGACGGAGCTCTTGCTACCGTCAAGGCTGATAGACCTGGAAAAACCAAACGGTGGAGTTAGACCCATAGCCATAGGGGAGGCGATACTACGCATCACAGCTAAGGCAGCGCTAAGAGAGCTGAGCGCGCCCATACGAGAGTACTTCCTACCGGTGCAATTCGGAGTTGCGGTACTTGGAGGAGCAGAGTGCATTATCCACACGGTACGGGCGCTCCTAGCTAAGGATCCGAAACGGGTGGCGCTGCAGCTAGATATCGAAAATGCCTTCAACCCAGTCGAACGAGGAGGGTTTTTCGAGTCCCTGCACTTCTCCGGCCTCAGCCGCATCATTCCACTGGTTCGCACACTATACGGCACGCCCTCTAGCCTTCTACTGGATCAAGGCTTCACGGCATCACACATCGACAGCACGCGCGGGGTCCGCCAAGGAGACCCCTTAGGCCCCATGCTCTTCGCAGCAGCCATCCAACCGGCGCTCCAGGTGGCAGCCGACATGCTCCCCACGGTTACGGTCATGGCCTACGCCGACGACATCACGATCGTGGGAGCAGCACCAGAAGCCGCATTAGCAATGGGTTTAATCACGAGGGGCCTAACTAGCCGCGGCCTCCGGTGCAACCTCTCGAAATCATCGACATGGAGCCCATCAGGCATTCCCGACGACCTTCCCGACGGCCTGGTGGCGGCAGTGGACGGCATACGAGTCTCGGGGAGTCCGATCGGGACCAGGGAATACGTAAGGCGCATGATCACAACATACCTGGAATCGGTGGCGACACCGCTAAACCTGATCGGCAGCATCCACCCGCAACACGCGCTGCTACTGCTATCACGGTGCATTTCGAGGCGCATATCATACCTGCTCTGCACAACACCGGCGGACGTGCTGCCCCTAGAAGAGTGGCGGGATTGGAGCGAAGGTCTGGTATGGACGGCCCTAAGAGCGGCACACCTGCACGTACCAAGGAAGGAGATCGAGCAGAGCCTGGTATGGCGGCAAGCGACCCTGCCAGTGTGCCTGGGCGGGCTGGGCCTGATCGATCCCGTATCAGAGGCGCCGACAGCCTACCTGGCATCCCTGGACGCGGCCCACTCCCTACTGAGCGGCATTCCTGAGCACCCAGATCACCCACTGCGGCGGGCTGCAGGCCTGGTGTCCACTGAGAGCACAGCAAGGGCAGAACAGGACGGGGAGACCCTGTAGGACCTTAAGGGCAAGCTGCCGGAGAGCGCGCTGGAACTCCTACACGAGCATAACCGCCAGAGGGGGGGGAAGGGGCGGCTGCAGTTAGGGCTATCACGTATGGTCAATCTGTCCGAGTGGACAAGCCGGGAACAGACAATGGGCACGTGGTGCGGCTCATAGCCCTGCAGGCGCCAGGAGCAGGAGACTGGCTACACGCCATCTCTACGCGAGCGGACCTCACCTTCTCACCAGGGCAATTTGCTATAGCCCTCGGCTTCAGGCTCGGCCTTACACTGCTGGTCACAGAGCACTGCCCCTGCCGAGGCAAGCGTTCCAAGATAGCTGACGGCAGCCTTTCTAATCACCTGCTGAGATGCGCGGATGGAGGGGACCGTACCAACACCCACAACGCGCTGGTGTACGCGGCGCTGCGCATGGCACGAGAGGCGGACTTCACCACCCTACATGAGACGACCGGCTTCTCGCCCCTTGTCAACCCTAAACGGGCGGACCTGGTCTTCAGTGACAAGGAATCGGGTGAGACCTACCTCACAGATGTGACAGTGACCGACCCAGTGCTGCAACGACGGGACACCCGAGGCAAAAAGGCACCAGGGTGGGCAGCAGAGGATGCAGCCAGGACTAAGAGGGGACTCTATGAAGAGCGCCCGGAGTATGCGGGGGTCCTCGGGCTGGCAGTAGAAACATATGGGGGATTAGCGAAGGACACCCAGAAATTCTTCCGCATTCTGGGCACGAGCGCGGCCAGGAAGAAGCACCGCCAAGGGAGGCTGACCACGGTTGCCTCTAGGCTGACTGCGCACTACCGACAGCGCTGGTCGGTAATGCTGCAGCGCTGCCAAGCCAATGCCATGCTGGCAAAGTCCAACAGGGCGGCAGAGGCAGCATACCCCCAGGCATGGGCTGACCCTTGGGAGCCAGGCCTGGGGGACCTATGGCAGGTCCTGGAGGATGAGGTGGAGGAAGAGTGGGACCAGGGAATATAGAGGGTGGGAGGGTAGTAGCCGGGGGCGAGAACAGGGCTAGGATGGGCCACTGCTGAGGGGCTGTAGGGATTGCTTGCAGGCTGGGGGCTGCCATGGGTCAGGGGGAACAGAGATAGGACAAGGAATGCATGCCAGAGTAGGCCGGGTTCTACTCACATAGCGTTGGCCATACCACCCATGCCTTGCTTGTACCCTATGAACTATATCAATACAGGACTGCTTGAGAGAGAGAGAGAGGAAGAGAGAGAGAGAGAGAGAGAGAGAGAGAGAGAGAGAGAGAGAGAGAGAGAGAAAGAGAGAGATAGAGAGAGAGAGAGAGAGAGAGAGAGAGAGAGAGAGAGAGAGAGAGAGAGAGAGAGAGAGAGAGAGAGAGGCACTAGGCCCCGTCCTTAGTCTCTCCCAGCTCCCTAGCTTAGTATATACTTAGTCTAGCTTAGTCCTTAGCCTCCATTAGCATTGAGTTCTTAGTGTAGCCACTGCAATACGCCTATATGCTGTACGAGCACCTATATAGCCTCCTCTTTTGGTTCATTCCACTCATTATACTCTGGTGAGTGTGGATCCACCCAACCCAGCGGCTCGCGCCGGCCGCCTTCGGCGGCCGACGCTCGACAGCGCGGCCTTCGGCCGCGCGTCTTGGGGTGGCAAGAACAACAAAGGAAAGGAGGAGTTGCACAGGGTGCAGTACAAGCATGCAAGTATAGTACTGACTGGGCTGCACTAAGGTAAGTCCCCAAGCCATGGGGAAGAAGAAGGCAACCACGACAGCAGCGGCCAAGGCAACACCTACATCCGCTTCACTCGCCGCCCAAGCCACCGAAGCACACACGCGATCGCAGGGACGATCCCAAGCGGGGACTCCTCAGCAGCCTTGGCTACCGTGCGGAAAGCCGCAGCGCCAGGTCCATCGTCCAGCAACGGGTCTGCAGGCTCAAGCGGCAGATGCAGGACATCCCACAGCGCACCCGACACTGCACGCCGCACCCGTCCCTGCTGGTTTTCTTTCATCTGCGGATCCCGCGCCACCACCTCCCGCGACTGCAGGGCGTCATGCAGGAGGTCAAGCACGAACGACAACTCTGTCACGCAGCGGCCAACCTCCGCCAGGTGCATCCCACGGGACTGGTAAGCCCCGTCTCCAGGCCGCGGCTCACCCCAAGGAGGGCTCGGGGGGGGAGCGTTCCAGTTCCAGTTCCCTTCACGCGGCACATGGGGCCACGAGACACCATCCCAATCCACCTCAGGGTCACGAGCGGTGCCAGGCACCTCGTCTTCGCTCCAGTAGCCGCGGGAGATGCCAGGCACGGGCTGATGCTGCGGGAGTGAAGGGGGCGCAAGATGGCGGGGGACGTGGAAATCGCAAGACACAGCAGATGAGTGAGGGGCAGGGGAGAACACCACGCAAAGAGCGGGGAGGAGACGAGAATGCGGGGAACTCACAAATCCGAACCGAGCCGCAGGTGGGCGAGACCCCGGCACAAGAGGGTGCTGGCGCTGAGGCCCATGAGGAGCGGGAACAGGGAGAGGCAGCCCCCGTGGGCCAGGAGGTGCGAAATCCGCCACATCCAACCGAGGTGGGTACGAATACGCAAGCGGCGCAACAGGAGTCGGCCCCGACGCGGGCGGCGCGTGAGGCGGAGCGGACGGTTGAGGGGGTGGCGGCGCCGCGGCTGGACCTGGCCCTGGGGCAGACGTCGGGGGATGCGCCGGCACGCCAACCGGAGGAGCGGAATCGGGCTGAGGCGGCGGAGGGACGGGGGCAAAAGGACATCTCGGTGGAGGCAACGCCGACTCCGGCGCTGGAGGGGGAGGCCGCGGCAGAAGGGCTAGCGGCGCAGACTGCGCCGCCGCAGCCGGCGTCTCCGAACGGGACGACGCGGACTGGGACCGGGCCGGAGGGAGCTGCAACGGCTGGGACCGTGTGGCAGGCGCGTGGAGTTGAGGTCGAGGACGAGCCTGGCCGGACAGGGGCGGGCGAGGGGGGCGACGACGACGGAACGAATGGCCGCGCGCACGGAGAAACGGATGAGTGCGCCCACGCGGGGAGCGGTACACCGGCTCCCTTGGTCGAGCAGGCGCGCTCGGCAACGGAGAGGACACGGCGCCAACACCCGCAGTTAGGCAGTCCGCGACGGCTCGGAACAGGGCTAGCACCTGCCCGCCCGGGGCCGCTGGCAGGGTGGGCGCAGCAGGAGATCCCGCCGCCACGATCACCTCACGCCGAGGCGGCCGGCGCCTACCCGTCATCAGGTACGGGGAACGAGGCGGATCGGCCCCACGAAAGAGCGGAACGGGCGGAGGCCGAAGCGGAAGACGGGGCGGCGGTCGTAGAAGAGGAGCAGGTGACCGTGATTGACAGGCGCCGAGAAGGAACAGCGCGGCAGAGGCTACTGCGAGAACGCGCAGCGGAGGCTATGAGAATAAGAACAAGGAATGAATGCACTAGGAAACAGGTGGGTACAAGTAGGAAAACCTAAAAGTGTTGTACCCCATATTGTCTACCCCACTACAGCCTACACAGACTATAGCATATACGTCTGACACACCCCCATAGGCAAAGTGGGGGAGAACAAGGGGTCACAAGACCAGTCAAGCAAAGCAAAGCAAGCTCAGGGTGGATCACAACGTCACCACACATTCCGAGCACAGGTTCAAGGCCACAAGGCCAGTTCACATGCAGGATCATATATATAAAGGTAAACAAGCAAGTGCAGGTATATATAGAACACAGTACAAGCAAGGTCAAGAAGTAAGCAAGTGAGGCCAAGTAGGCACAAGACCTAGCATCGTACAAAAGCGCTGATGATCACAAGGCTGAAGTGCCTTGGTAAAGATATCAGCAGTGTTGGCCTGAGAGGCCACGTAAGCAAGGCGCAGCTGACCACGCTGCTGTAGCTCACGAGCAAGGAAGTAGCGAAGAGCAATGTGCTTCGTTCTGTGCTCCAGTCTGTGCTCCCGACACAAGGCCAACATGGCCTTGTTGTTTACGTACAGAACTGGAGGAGAACGAGGCGGCTCTCCTAGGTCAGTCACCAGGTAGGTGAGCCAACGTAGCTCCTGTGCAGCCATGGCCCCCGCGTAGATCTCAGCCTCACAGCTGGAGCCGAGAACAGAAGACGAGCGGGTAGACCGCCACGAAACAGAGCCAGAACCAAGGCTGAAGGTGTAACCCTGTGACGACCGCTGCGTAGCCTGGTCGTCAGCCCAAGAAGCGTCTGCGTGACCTGTGAGGACCACTGAACACCGCCCTCCAAGCACTAGCCCCATGCCCGACGTACTGCACAAGTAGCGCAACACCCTCTTCGCTGCAGCCATGTGCTCTGGTCGGTGTCTCCCAGGAGCAACATAGCGTGCCAGGATGCTAAGAGGGTATGCAAGGTCAGGTCGTGTGCAGGTCATCAGGTACATGAGGCAGCCAACAAGCTCTGGGTACGGGCCACTCGGCTCTACGGACTCATCCGAAGGCAGAGCTGAGAGCGAGTGGCGAGTAGACAGAGGAGTGGCATGAGGCGAGGAGTACGTGAAGTCGAAGCGCTGAAGGACCTGCTGCACCATGTGTGACTGAGTCAGGGTAATGGTGCGCTGTGCTCTGTCCCGGGTGATCTGCAAGCCAAGGTAGCTGCGCAGTTCACCCAGGTCTGTGCACGTGTGTCTCTTCTGCAGCTCGGACTTCACGTGGGCGAGTCCAGCAGTGTCAGCAGTGGCAAAGACCAAGTCGTCGACGTACACGAGGATGTAGAACGGCGGCAAAGAGGTGTCGGTGCGCAGAAACAGCGACGGGTCGGCAGTAGAAGGAGCAAACCCAAGAGCCGCAAGTGTAGTCCTCAGTGTGTCGTGCCACTCACGGGGCGCCTGGCGGAGACCGTAGACTGGCCGCCGGAGGCTCCACTGGGTACTAGGAGGGAACGACCCAGTGAAGCCAGGTGGGCGGCGCAGCCAGATCTCCTCGTGCAGGCTGCCCTGCAAGAAAGCTGTGCTGAAGTCAAGAGAGTGAAGCTCGTAGTCACGCTGAGCGGCTATGTGCAGCAGCACCCGAAGAGTGGTCATCTTCGGGGTGGGAGAGAAGGTCTGAAAGTAGTCAACTCCCTGCCGCTGACTGAAGCCTCGAGCCACGTAACGCGCCTTGAAGACAGGCGGAGAACCCGACGGCCGCTTCACCCTGAAAATCCACATGCCACTGACGATGTTCGCCCCAGGTGGGGGAACCTCGTCGACGTAGGTGCCTGTGGACTTCCAGGAAGCCATCTCTGCGTCCATGGCTGACTGCCACTGTGAGGAGTAGGGACCCTCGATCGCCTCAGCGTACGATCGAGGAGTCGGGATGTCTGGTGCATCCGGGTCTCCCTCAGGGGCAATCAGCATGGACACGAGATGAGGCAAAGCAGCAGCAAAACACTGGAACTCCTCCTGCCTGTCCTCAAGGACGTCCATGCTAAGAGCACACTCACCCCCGACGGACGGAGGACAGACAGACTCAGACTCAGCAACAAGACTCGCGGCGTAGTCTAGACGACAGTGAGCAGCGAAGTCGACAAGCTCAGCAACTAAGGCAGACGCAGCAGTGGACTCAAAGGAAGGGTCAGTGACAACAGTAGTCAGGAGACGCGTGACAGTAGGACTGGCAGCACGAAGGGAGTCAGACGCCGGGTCAGCAAGAGCAGGAAGAGAGGACTCAGGAGGAGACGGCAAAGGGACACGCTGCGGAGCAGTGGAAGGACGCAGTGCCATCTGATGCGTGCCCGGGACCGCAGGAGGACGCTGACGCGGAACACGACGACTAGCGTGAACAGCACGAACAGGCGACGCAGGGCGAGACGCAGGCGCACGACGCTCAGCAAGACCTCCAGTAGGACCAGTGTAGGGAGAAGGGGCAGGAAGTGGACAGGCAAGCTGTAACTGTGACTCGGACGGGACGGACGGTGGACACTCTAAGGCAGGAGAAGGACCAGAAGAAGGCGGAAGGCCAAGAACCTGCTCAAGGAGGGGAACGAAGTACGGCCGAGGCCGCGCAGCACCTCCAGAACCAGCAGGGACAGCACCAGCACCCCCAGCGTCAGCTCCGAGTCCAGCAGCACCTCTAGCTCCAGTAGCACCTCCAGCAGCACCAGCACCGCCAACTCCAGCAGCTTCAGGAGCACCGGCTCCAGTAGCACCTCCAGCTCCAGAACCTCCAGCTCCAGCTCCAGCAGCACCTCCAGCTCCAGAACCTCCAACAGCTCCAGCGCCAAAAGGACCACCAGAAGACGGAGCAGCACCGGCTCCTATACCCCCAGCAGCACCTACTCCAGCAGCACCCCCAGCTCCAGCTCCTCCAGCAGGTCCAGCACCAGTGGAACCACCAGGCCCAGCAGCTCCAGTACCTCCAGTACGAGCACCTCCGGGACCCGTGGCTCCAGCATCCCCAGCAGCAGCAGAACCTCCAGCACCAGCAGCAACACCAGCTCCAGCAGCACGACTCCAATGCCGAGCAAACCACTTGCGCAGCTCCTGTGGAGAGGGTAGCTCCCGCCGAGGCGAAGCACCCGAAGGACCTCCAGGCTCCACACCCCCAGGCTCCGCACCCCCAGACTCAGCAACCCCAGGCTCAGCACCCCCAGACTCAGCACCCCCAGTCCCAACACCCCCAGGCTCCGCACGCTCATGCTCAGCACCCCCAGACCCGGCACCCGCAGGCGCAGCACCCCGAGCAGCACCAGAGTCAACAGCTACCTTGACAGGCTCGACTGCGTCTACCTGAGACACACCTGAGGGGGCAGGACCCTGAGGGGGAAGGGGGTCTACCGGGGGGGGACCTGGCACGAGGAAGAGCGGCGGGGGGGGGAGGGGGGCAGCGCGGTAGGGGAAGAGACAGTAGTACGGCACCGACTCGTCAAACGTGACGTCCTGGGAGGACAGAACACGGCGCGAGGTGGGGTGGTAAAACTGCCAGCCAGGCGCGTCAGGGGGGAAGCCAAGGAAGACGCAGGGAACAGCACGGGAGGACAGCTTGTCCCAGACAAGTCGCGGACGAAAGCTCGAGATCCCCAGACACGGAACGCAGACGCATCGCCAACCTTCCCCGTCCACCGCAGAGTGGGGGAGGTCTCCGGCGTCGAGACCCGGGGCTGAAGGTTGATCTGATGCGCCGCGTACTGAACCGCGAACGGCCACAGAAAATGGGGAGCAGCCGCATGGATCATGGACGTACGAGCGACGTCCATGATCATGCCAATGCGGCGCTCAGCAATCCCATTTTGCTGTGGAGAGGCCGGAAGCGTGAACGTCTGGCGGATGCCCTCCGCACGACAGAAGGCTCGCAGAAGGTGGGAGGAAAACTCTCCACCTCTGTCAGAGTGCAGACGCAGAACAGAAAAGTCCGAGCCGAAACTCTCTCTGAGCTGGAGACGGGCAGCGCGGATCCAGTCGATCAACACCTCAGTGACCTCACCCTTGCGGCGCAAGGGGAAGACTGAGGTGTAACGCGAGTAGTCATCAACCACCAGAAGGAAGTAACGCTCGTGACCCTGTCCACGGACGCGGGCTGGGCCCCACACGTCCATGTGGAGAGTCTGCAGCGGAGCCTCTGTCGGAGGAAACTCGGAGGAGTGAGGAGCGGCGCGCTGCCGCCCCTCGACGCAGGGAACGCAGGTAGGGGCAGGCCCCGGGGGAAGGGGAGGGAGGGACCGGGGCAGACCAGTGACAAGGACACGGGAGGCCATGCCCCGGAGACGAGGCAGGGAGGGGTGACCAAGGCGGTGGTGCCAGAGGAGAGTCTGGTGAGACAGGAGACGACACGAGCAGGGGGCAGACTCAGGACCAGACCTGGACGCTGCAGCAAACACCTGACTCGACGCAGCTACCTGACCAGACGCAGGAACCGAAGGAGACTCGGTATTGAGTGTGTACAGGCTCGACCCCGGCTGACGGGTAAACGTGGCCAAGTGTCGGCCCGTCCGAGCACACGTGCAGTGGGTCACTCGCTGACTCGCAGGAGTGAACTGGTCAACCCCCCCATCCTGTAGGTCAGCACCACTCACCAAGTTCGTAGAGAACGAGGGGAGGTAAAGACCTGACAGGGAGCCAGAAGGGGCCGCCGGACACGGTAGGACAGTGGAGTAGTGGGCAAGGACAGGACCCCCAGAGGGGTCTGCCAGGGAGACTGCAACCGGCCGATTAAGCGGCGTGAGTGTGGTGCGGTCTCGAAAGAAGGAGCGAGAAGCTCCCGAGTCAAGGGTGAAGGTGTGGAAGATCGCAGCAGGCGCAGCACC